GGGGGGGGGGGGGGCGGGCAGCTGCACAGGAGAAGAAAGCCCTTCAATCCACACGACCAAGATGCACACTTCAGGGACACAAGCAGGGCGGCAAACGCAGCCACTCCCATCCTGGAGGGAGGTGATGGGCCAGCTGGTGCGTGGTCTGTGGCATGAGCAGTGCCAGGATCCACATCCCACCCCAGAAATAATGATGTTGATTTCTTTAAACCCACCTACAGGCCTCCGTTTATTAGTCGTTTCTATGTAGGGAGGAGTGTTCTTTTCTCACATGTGAACCTATTTGGCTATTTAATCATGTCAGCGTGGTCTCCTGCCATGATTTATTTGATTCCCAGGTGCGGCCAGCAGGGCCTCCCCCGCCCATAATCCAGTTGGACTCTGCTCCTAACCACTGCCTCCTCAAGACAATCTATTTTCTCTCTACCCTTCTGATTTTCTTGGCAGTATCTCAGCTGGGTGAGAGGACGCTGCAGAAAAGCAGACGGGACACTAAGTGGGCGTCCTTCCAACATCACTTGCTTGTTAAGGAGCTTGGCCATCAGGTGGCAGTTTCTTATTCTCTTGATTCTGAAAGCTATTTCTTATTTGCTTTTCATCAAATGAACTACACATGCCCTGGGGCTGGATGCCCTGGGGCTGGCTGCCCTGAGTCTAGGCCGTGGGGCAGCATCAGACACCGGGTCACAGTTCCTGCAGCCGCACCCACTCACCGCAGGGCTTCTCAACAATATCCTGGTGTCAGGCCCTGTCGAAGGCACAGAGATGGAAAACAGACACAACCTCCCGCTCTCGTGAAGTCTATCTTCTAGCGGGGGAAAGGATAAGAAAATGAGAGGGTCGTCCAAACAGTCCAACGTATTAACAACCAGAGCCCAAAAGAACAGAGCACAGAGGGGAAAATGGTCAGAGATGACACAGGGAGCCTGCCGGGACTGAAAGAAAGACATGTCCACATGGTAAAGGCGGGGGCTGCCCATTCCAGTGGTTGGGCATGGGCAGAACAGGGCCAGGGCACCCAAGGCCACTGCCAGTGGCCTCTCCCCTCTGAGGGCTGTCCCACGGGGGTACTGCCAAGCGCCTGCCAGCGGCACCCTCTGATTCCTGTGACAGCCAAAGAGTGTGACCCACTGCCCCATATTCCCATGTGCTCATCCCAGAGGAGCCACTCCACTAGGGACCAGCTGCTTCTCCAGGGTTCTGAGCCTTCCCCAACCTCCTCAGTTCATGGCCCTTCCGCCTGCCAGCCCTGCCAGGGCAGCTCCTCCTCACGGAGCTGGAGGGGCAGAAAGTCCCTTCCTTGCCCACAGCCTCCTCCAGGTGCCAGACTGGGACCGAGGTCACCACAGCCAGCACTGCCGCCTGTCCCCCTGAGGCTTCAGGATTCACCTCTGCTGCGTCGGCATACCTCAGCAGCAGGCCAGATCCCCCTGTGGTACAGTTTTATGGAGACACAGCCATGCACTGTGGCTGCTTCCACACGACCACGGCAGAGGTGGGAGCAGTGGCAGAGACGTGGGGCCGGCAGGCCTGAGATCTTCATTGTCTGGCCCCCTGCGGAAGTTGCTAACCCCCAGCAGGAGAGCCCTGCAATCCAAGACAAGCCCTGCCCCTTCCCTCCCAACGGCTTGTTGGCCACCCGGCCGGCTTCAGTCTGAGGATGTAAGAACCCAGCCCTGGGACTCTAAACACCTGCAAAACGCCCTCTGCCCCAGCCCAGGTCCTCTTGGCCCACCCACCCGGCCCAGAGCCAGCAGCCCCTCAGGCTTGCTGGCCTTCCATCCACCTGCCAACCCAGACCAGCTCCCCACCAGGCTCTGCACACTCATCTGGGCCACCCACCTGCTTCTGTCTCTCCTGTGGGGCCTGTGGCCCTGGCCCTTGCCTCTGGGTCTCCATGCCCCCTTCCTCAAGGACGGAGCTCCAGTCCCATCACCACCATGCTACCCACGGGTCCCTCTACCAGACCATGACCATCGCGGTCCGAACCTGCCACAGGTTAACTCTCATCCAAAAACTAAAAACAAAAGAAAGAAAGGCCTTCTCCTGGCCACTGTCCCCACAAAGCCCTGCCCCCTCGACCCAGCACCTCCACCAGAGGCTGCTCAAGGGCACTTCTCACCTCCCAGGCCCTGGGAACCCCAAACCCTCCACAGAGCCCCAACAGGGCCCACACAACCCAGCACAGCCTGTCCCTGCAGCTGCACCCACCCCATCTTGGTCCCCCCAGCTGGCCCCTGCTGCCTGCCACAGAGCACAGTGGCCACCAGCCTCCTGGGGACACTGGCACTGCCCACCCTGCACTCCAGCTGACCTTGCTCCATAGTCTGCCACACACCCCCGGAGCATCCCTCTGACATGTCCAGACCCAAACTCCTGTTGCACCAACAGAACCGCTTTTCCTGTTATCCCACTCAGCCTAGTTCCTACAGCGGTTCAGGCCACATGACCCTACACCCTGCCCCTCCTGCCCTCACACCCTCAAACGTCCTCAACAAATTTTGGGCTCTTCCTTCCAAACACACTCGGAACCGACCACATCTCACCTGACTGCCCTCGCAGGCTGTGCTCTCCTCCCAGCCCCACCACTGGGCCATGAAAGCCTCTCCCCCACAAGGTGGTCAGAGTCACACCATGGCTGCTGTCCACCCACTCAGAGAAAAAGCCAGGACTACAGGCCGTCAATGCCTCAATGGCTCAGCCCTTTTACTCTCTGACCTCTTCCGAGCACTGAGATCTCACAGCTCCTCAAACACATCAAGCCTGGGCCTGCTCAGAGGCTTTGTGCTGGCTGTTCCTGCTACAGGAATGCCCTTCAAGAGGGCTTCGCTGCTCTCGCAGCAAACAGTCTGAGCTGGGCGAGTCCCCTTGACACTTGTGCTGAGCATCAGGTGAGCCCCCTGTCCACCTCTCACTTGGCACAGACACACAGTGAGGTAGGTGCTCCCGGAAGGCTGTGGGCTTCACCCAAGAGCCAGGGGTCTAATTTCTGAAGGAGAAAATGTTTAGTAGTAGTTTCTATTACAAATAAAGTCTCAATTTTTAGGAAAAATTATAAGTTGGTAATCATCTTTTACTAGCTTAAATTTTCTATATGACCCAAAGATGACAATTTTAATTGATCAGAAGCATAAATATGCTCTCTCCCCGAAGCAAAGCCAATGAAGGGGTATTTCAACAAAAATTTGACGAGCGCCTCAACACCCACTGTGTAGACCCATGGTAATCAGATAAGGAAGCCCCAGCTCAGGCCTCCGGAGCTCAGGGAGGCGGCGGTGGCGGCGGTGGGAGGGGCCCCCCTGGGAGGGGCCCCCCCTCAAGCCTGCAGTATGGAGCTGTGGCCCCACAGGGACACCCTGCCCACAGTGAGGCTCCCCAGGAGGAGCGCTGGGCAGATGAGTACCTCCAGGGGACCTGCCCAGGTGGGGGTGCAGGTGGTCCCCACTCCTCATGGCCTCCCCCACTCTGGCAGCCCAGGGAGCCAGCGAACCTGAGCATCGAGCACCAAGCAGGCTGGGTTCTTACCTCTGAGGTGGCTTGTGGAGTGGGAACTGAGACCCGTCTGCCCAGGGCCACCCAGGCAGCAGAGCCCAGACAGCACTTGGACCCAGGTTAGGAGCGTGCGCCAGGCATCACCGTCTCCTGGCTCCAGGAGCACCCTGTGCTGGGTGGTGGGCTCTCAACAGGCAGCGCCCCCCAGGGGTCCTTACCTAGTTAAAGCTTCTTCCATCAGGGAAAGAACCACCTGTAAGACCTGAGCCTGCACCCCAGTTCCACCTGCTCAGGATTCCATGGCATTGCTATACACACACTGTGGCTGGGACCCATGCAGAGTCCCCCCACCCATAGCGCCCCTGTCCCCACTGCCCTCCCATGGCCCCTTGTGCTGCCCATGTGTCCTGCCACTGTAGGCTTAAGCACATCACCCTGTTGTAAACTGCTTGTCTTCTAGCTCTCCTTGATATTACAGCAGGAACATAGTATTGGTTTTGGTGACGGACCAGGTAAGCTATGTCATCTCAGAAACCGCTTTAGGAGAGAACACAGGGCATTACCAAACCTGTTATCAAAGGGCGTGCTGGGTCTAGGAGGTAGGGGCAGACATGGGCTGATGGGAACAGGGTGCAGTAGAAGGAGAATGGGGCAAGGGGCAGCCAGCCCTCGCACTGCAGCCCTGCATCTAGGTAGCGACAGTGAGAAGAATGGGCCCCCTAAAAGATACGTCCACATCCTACCCCTTAGAACCTGTGAATGCAACCTTACTTTGTTAAAGGGTCTTTACAGATGTAATAAGTTAAGGATCTTGAAATGAGATCATCCTGGGTTTGGATGGGCCCTAAATCCAGTGACAGGTGTCCTTACAAGGAGAGGCAGATATGAGACACAGGCACACAGGGCAGAGGCCGCACAACAATGCAGGTGGAGACTGCAGGGATGCCATCACAAGCCCAGGGAACAGGGCGCCACCAGGAGCTGGAGGAGGCAGGAAGGATCCCCACAAATCTCTGGAGAGAGCAGGGCCCTGCCCACACCTTCTTGATGTCAGACTCCTGGGGATCTGGGAGAGCAAACACGCTGTGCTGAGCCCGGGGCCTGTAGTTCTTCCATCAGGCCCCCAACCTTGCAGCTGAGCTGCTCAGAAAGCTGTGGTGATGGGCACACAGGGCACCATGTTATCTGGTACCCGCAGACTTCCCACACCACCACCAAGCTTCTATCCCTTTGGTTCTCACAGCGCTCAAGGAGCCTCACCCTTCTCTCCCCACAGCGGGTAGGGAGCTCTGCCCACCCTCCTGCCTGCGAGGCCCAGGCACGCCCTACTTACCGCGCACAGTTCTCAGCCAGTCCACGTTGGCCGCCTCTAGCTCCGCTGGGTCTGTGACGACCCTGCCAGGGACGATGCGTTCAAAGGCGGCCAGATCTTGCTCAGACACCACGGAGAAGGGCAGACGCTTCACAGAGTAGCGCTCACAGGTCAGCATCACCTCCGGGGTCCCCAGGGAAGTGGAGGGGCCGCCTGTGCAGGCCAAGGTGCTGTCTGGCCCGGGGGTCCTGGACGCCCCCGCCCATGTCCTTTGCTGCACCGATGCTCCCCGAGTGCAGGCCACCTGCCACCGGAAGAGCCACACGGGCGACCTGAGCACCAGACGGGGCACCATTGCTCCTTCCCTAGAAAGCAAGGGTCGGGACCTGTGGCTCTGGAATGAACGCAGCAAGGCCCCAGCCAGGTAAGGTCGAGACGACAGCAGCTCCCCGGGACACGAGGTTGGGGCGCCCTGGAGCGGCGGGCAGCGGGGAAAGGGACACGAGGCCTGGAGGCGCCCATGCCGCTACCCGGTGCGACCCGGCAGGAGTCGCCTCCTGGGACTGAGCTGCGCCTTCAATGAGTGACATGCAACAACCGCGTCTCCCTGCAGCTGGCCTTCAGTACAAAGCTAGGACTTATGGGGTCTCAAGAAAGTCGCGCGGCGTATCCTTGAAAGGATTAAAGCGATAGGTTTAGTTTTATGTGTCTGTTACCCCAAGTGACAAGCGTGCGCAAAGAAAAGCGGGGGAGGGAAGCATCTCTGGCTGCCCACCAGGAGGAGGCGGATTTCTAACACAAAGCACGGAAGTCCCAGGGGCAGGGGCAGGGGGCAGAGGACAGAGGACGGACGGCGGGCTCCCGGGCCCTGCGCCCTCGGAAACGAGCGAGCCCGGAGGAGCGAGCACGCCACAACCGAGTCCCTCGTCGCAGGGCGGGCAGGCGAGCTTGGCCAGGACCCATACCCCACGGAGGTCGTGCCACCCGGGCACCGAGGCTCGTCGCCCCAGGGGTCGGGCGCGCGGAAAGCCGCGAGTCACGGGACGGCCCGCATGCCAGACAGGGTGAGCCTCCGCCCGGCGCCCGTGCACAGAGTCCCGCGCCGCGCCGCGCACTTGCGCCCGCGTCCCCGGCCCACAGTCGCGACCCCGGCGGCCGCGCGCACTCGCGTCCGCGTCCCCGGCCCACAGCCGCGACCCCGGCGGCCGCACGCACTCACGTCCGCGTCCCCGGCCCTCCTCCCAGACCTGGCCCGGGCTGCGCCAGTGGGCGGGGCAGTGGAACCGAGTCTGCGTGCTGGCACCCTCCGGCCCCGCCCCCGCCCTGCAGGCCCCGCCTCCTGTCCCACAGGAGGCTGGGGAATGTGGTTCGATCCACGGTCCACAGCGGCTGCAGTGGCCTTGACCCATGTCCGGCACACCCTCCCGCCTCTTTCCCCGGCGCCGGCCCCACCGAGGTCCACCCCGACTGGCCTCAGAAGTTAACTGTACTGCTGCGGGCCCCAGGCTCCCGAGGTGATTCTTTGGCTCCCTCCAGGGGTCTCTGCTTCTGCCCGGGAACTCTGGCTCCCAGAACCCCTGGTGCCCCAGCCCTACTCTGGTCAAAAGGCACACACCCCTGCAAGTCAGGTATGCATTGCGAGAAGCAGTTAGCCTCCAGCCCCTCCAGCCCCTCCAGGTCCCCACCTGCCCCGTGTTAGGCTACCACAGCTCAGCTGGAGCGTGCCCTTCACTCTGCTGTGTGGGGCCGGAGAGGCTCTGCCAGCATGGAGCATGGAGGTAGGACAAAGCGGTGGAGGAAGGCAACTTCTGGCCCGATAGATATGCCCGTGCTGTCATCCCAGAAATGGCCCTCACTCCAGGAACCCTGGTGCCAGTCCCCAGCCTCATCCTATTCGTTCTGGAACATTGGCAGCCTCTAGCCTCTCCCAGCAGAAAGTCTTGGGTCCCAGGTCCATGGGGCACCCCTTCCCTGAGCTCCTGAGGCACCAGGGCCACCAGCTCCCCTGGTGGCCACACCTCAACCCCACAGGTTGGGTAAAATCCTTTACCCATCAGCCATGCAGCTCCTCAGAGATCTGAAGGCCCTCTCCACACTGACTTTCCCCACAACACCCCCACACACAGCCCTGCAGACTTGGGAGGGGTAACTGCCTCCTGCAATTCTGTTACCTCAGCACTCAGCCCTCCAGTACTCTAAATTAAGAAACTAAGGTGGATGCGACTTTCCTGATTTGGTCCCTGGCACTTGGCCGAGGGCTCATCTCCCACACTCTGGCTCCAGCTGTCCTACAGGAGACCCTGCAGTGCCCTCCAGCTCATCCAATTCCACGTGTCATCAGTGACACAGACAGGAGGGGCATCCTATGGAACCTAAGGTTACAGAGATCTCAGGACCAGAGGGCTGGGGGAAAGCAAGCGCTCTGGGACAAGACACTGCAGGCGTGGTTGGCGTCCCAGCTTCTGGTGATCCTTGCAAGCTGCCCTTGCCAGGTCAGTAACTGCACACTGCGTGCCAAGTGTGCTGATTTGCTCTGGGCCACATCTGGAACAGCCCCACCTTCTTCACAGGCAGGTGAAGGGGGTGTGCCAAGCGCATCACCACCGGATGCGTTTTGCCTGTGGATTGCTATCCGACACCCCCACTCGGCCCTTCCTATCATAATGGCCCTCGCTCCACAGGGCAGTTGGTGTGGGAATTCTGCCAGTTGTCAAGTCTATTTCAATGATACTTTGGCACTGGGAACATAACCACAGAGGGGTCTGTGGACCCCCTTGGATGAATGTCACTGATCACCTGATCACCAGAGGCCCTCACTCTTAGTAGCAGACCAGTGGCATTGTGGGCCTCTGGGAATTAATAACAATTCAGAATCACTGAAGATTAACACCCCCACCCCAAAACAAGACCGGTGTTTCTTTTTCCCAGGCCATCACCCCAACAAATGGCTGCGAAGACCCTGGAGTGCTGGGGGGAAGTGCACGCAGGGGCAGCCTCACAGCCCCCTCTCCAGGGTCTCAGTCTCCCTCCAGCAGGACTCTGGTGCTGAGAGCTGGCTTTCCCCTGGAGAACAGGTGAGGCTGTGCCTCCCCACTGCGTCGGCCGAGCCAGGCTTCTGGGCCCTGACTGTCAACACTGCAAGGAGACGTCCTACAAACACCTTAGTTCCCAAAGGGGCCTTGACACCAACGGAGACCTAAGGTGAACCTGTTTCAGATAAAGTACCTTATGCCTCTATAAAGCGGCCCGCAGCGTCTTTGTCTACACACACATCCTCCTCGTGAGCCTGGAGACAGCCTCTGAGCCCATGACATAGCTGAGGCCTAGAGTCAGCCACTTACCACAGGGAGGCCCATGGCTGCTGACACCACTCTCCTCCAGCTCACCGCACAGCCCCTCAAAACCCAACACATCCTCTCTGGATACAATACCTCAGTTTTATCTGTTACCGAAAGATAAATGCACTCTCAAAATGTTTATTCCAAAAAATACTTCATTTATCAAACAATATATCCATAATCTATAACATGATCCAAAAATACAGATATACATCTTAACATTATTTAATAAAAAGTTTTACATTATCTTTCTTTTACAAAGGGAACATAGATAATAATTCCTTGAAAATAAAGTGTAACATTTATGTTAAAGCTGCATCATTTTTTTGGATGAAATGTGGTAAAGATGAACCCCACAAACTACATATGTAAAAACTTCACAGAACTCTCTCCTGAAAGAGAACATTTTTCTTAGACTTCCCACTTTAAAATTCCTCTTAGCACAGGTAAAGACCAGTCATCGTTCATTAAAAATTGAGGAAAGCCTCAAATCTTCAATGCCCGTAGGTGTCTGAATCCTGCACCGGGACAGCTCCAGGCTGTGGCCATATGGGGAAGCTGCTCTTGGGACAGTGTTATTGCTCTTAGCCAACAGCTGCCAATAACAGGTCAGGAGTCAGAGTGCAGAGTGGCCACTGGGGACAAGACTGACACACAGCCAGCCACCGTGCCCATGCATCCCAGCAAACCCCCACCATTACTGGCACACACGGCTGTGTCTTGGGCATTTGCTGCCCAGGCAGCCTGACAGCTGCCTGGCTCCTGTGGCCCTGGCCAGTACTGGTTCCATGGCCACCTGCCCAGGGGCTCCAGCCTGCAGGGGTACAGTCACACAGGCCGCACCAGCACAGCCATAGACAGCCGTGCGCTCCGGTTAAGCGTCCCACTAGTGCAGCCGTTTCCCCATGAGACAAGCAGAGGGGGCTGTCTAATCGGTGCCAACACAGCACCGAAGCAAGTGCTGCTCCTCGGAACAGGGTCCTGCTCCCCCGACACAGAAGCCCCACGGCCACGGAGGGCCACGCCCTCGGCTCATGTGCGGATGAAGAGCGACCTGCTGGGCCCAGCCCAGACCCCCTCAAGCGGGGATGGGGCTGGCTCCGTAGCCACCTCCAGGGTCAGAGCCCATGCTGGACAGGCACCGACGGGTGTTCTGGTCTGAGTCACCCTCAGGACAAAGGCGGCCAGGCCTGGGGTAGCGATCCTCAGACGGTGCAAGCAGCACTGGCTCCAGCCGTCCCCACAGGACTGGGCCAGGCCAGGTGGCATGACCTTTCCCAGCCAGACGGCCATTCTGGAGTCCTTCCGACTCACAGCGTGACAGCTGGGGAAAGGCACCCAGTCAGGACCCAAACAATGTCCCAGGGAACCCTCCTTTCTGCTCATGTTTTCTGTTTTCCCCAAAGCTATATGCATATTATTTCGGTGATAATTATTTTAAGTGGCAAAGTAAACACTAGAAACAGATAAGCAGAGACACTTAAGGAAAAAAAGGTGACCCATGGGATGTCACATGGGACGCTACACAGAACGAGCAGGGTGACACCATCAGACTTTAAACAGAAGCTGAAGACAGGAAAGTTGGTCATCTTTCCTGGGAAATCATGTGACAACTGAAACTTAACTGGCCATCCACCTACATCTGCAAACACTAGTTTTCCCAGAAGACGACCACATGAAGTGTTCACAGATGAAGTGCACATATTAATTCAGCTTCTAAAGAACCATCACAGGCTTATTGTACTTACCTATCTTTCCCACAAAACTGGTAAAAGAGTAAAGAAAAAAACTTTCCACAATTTACTCCCCGCAATCTTTAAAACACCCATGTTAACAAAAAGCTAAGTTGCTAAATACAAACATGCCTCGTTTCCCGGCCATGGTTGAGACCTGGGTGTGTGCTGGCCGGAGCCGCTCTGATGCCCCGACCCCTCTTCCTGAGCAGTAGGGAGGCGTCAGTTCCAAGGAGGCTCATCAGGCCCGGGGCCCACAGGGACACACCACGGCCACTAAAGAGCCCCCACCCCAGGCACCCCATCCCATGGAAGGCTGGCGCCTGCCGCACTGACCCTGCCTCAGCCGCCCACGGGCAAGTCCTGCTCCCTCAGCCTGCTCCAGAAAAGACAGCAGAGGCCACCAGACCACAGATGGCTCCAGCCAGACCGCGGAGTCCCTGATGCACCGCTCTCATCTCATGTGCCAAACGGTAGCCTGCTTGGTGGGGAGCGGCCCATCAAGGGTACAGCTTCAAGCTCCTTCCAGCTTTATTTCCTCTCCTTGGTAAAATAGTAGCAAATGGGAGGAAAATACCAACGAAACTGGGCCATGAGAAGGAAACGGGGTCTCAGGAACCCTGATCTCTCTAACTGCTGCTGTGGAGTCAGAGTGCAAGGAGGTGCCCAGAAGTCACACCTCATGTACTGTCGCAAATGGATCTCAACACACCATGCGCATGCAATTTCCCCCGACATGACCCGACAGTTCAAAATCGGTTTGGTGAATGCTGATTAAACAGAAAGAATTCCCCAGTCCTAGCTTCACTCCAGAGCTGCTCTGTGGCATGAGAAATTCACAAATCACAAGACACGACTGTAATCCCTAGGGATACAAGTTATACCTAGTCAGTAGCATGACAGGCATACAGCTTCTAGTAGACTGGACGCACTCCACATGCACACAGACCTGCTACCTTCATGCTATTACAATAACTTCGTCTTCACAGTAAAAGTGTCAGAATTCCCCGAGACACAGAAAGACAGCCCGCTGGTTACACTGTCTCTTATGGGCACTGGTCATGGTAACCGACAGCCCATTTGCTAATAAAGAGCCGTTTACTCCAGAAGGTGAACCCACACGGAGGGGACTGGGAGTCTGGACGGCAAAGGCAGTGCACAGCCAAGCAGGGCCCCCCACTCCAGGGAGAGCCCGGTCCTTCCCAGGAGATCATTGGCTTCCATGCAGAGCTGGGAGACGCGTCCCAGCAACGCCATGCCAGATTCCTTCACTGGCCCCTCACATGGCACATTGTGCCGCGGTGGTGCTGCAGGCCCGGGTGCTCCCAGCGAGGCTCCCTCCTCTAGCTGCAGTGATGGCAGTTTCCAGTGGGATATTCGCCCTGTCCCATACCCAGGAAATGCTCTGCACCACACATACCCAGGAAGTGGCTGCTTGGCATGACTGCTGTGCTCGGCGCTGGGGTCTGTACAGGAAGGCACGGGAGCACGGTCACGTGGCAAGTTCCTGTAAACGCGCTCCTCAGTGCACACATGGCTCAGGTGGACTCGCATGTTTTAGGAAACATTCAGAATCACACCTGGCCACTGAGTTATTAAATGTCGTTCAAAAGAAGGTAATTTTAAAAACGAAGGTAAAATATTGCAACACGAACGAAGGAAGGAACACATTGACTTGCTCTTCTGGTCCTGGTCAGCCCCTCCTCACTTCTTCTTCCTCCTTTCCTGGACACACCGGGGACAGAACCTGGATGGGAGAGGCACAGCGATCAGCCGCTGCCCGCGGGAGGCCCGTCCCCGCCCCCGGGGTCTCCCAGGATAGCTGCCCGCAGACAGAACAGCCGGAGGAGAGCCCTCGGGCCGAGAGCACACAGCGGCCCTGTGGCAACCCACGCAGGTGCTCTACCCAGCACACCTGTTTAAAAGCTGGTAGATACGGATCAATGAGAAAGGCGGATTTCACGCACAGGCATCCTCTTCATCAACTGGCTGGATTTCCCTGTGTGCTAATGGGGTCACCAGCAACCAAAATGGAGACAATGCCACGTCACGCCGGTGGACTGGAGGGGCTGACAGCCAAGTATGGTGGGAGGGCGTAGCAGGCTTACCCCAGCAGGCATGCAGCCCCCGCACAGTCTGGGTGGGCCCCGGAACCTGCCTGACTCACAAGTGCTCTCTGGTGACCCTGGACAAGTAAGTCCAGGGCCCAGACGCAGATCACTCCTGGGCCACAGCGGCTGCTGACAACACAGGACAGCATTCCACCTGGCCTTGCCCCTCAGCTCCCACACTCCCTATGCACAAGGCAGCCGATCCACATGTGGCAGGCTCGCCGGGCCCTAGGCCTCCGTTCTCCAGCGTCCAGCCATGCCAGTGAGTGGGCACGGAGCACCCTGGGGTAGCTAGGCTCCAGCAGCAAGCCTACAAGCCAGCAGAGACACTAAGCCTCACTGACGTACAAGAGCCTGGACGCTCAGTGGTCTCTGCAAAGACCACAGAGAAACCAGAAGTTAAACTGGCTCTGCCACCCAGCCCCAGTCCCAGAAGCAGAGTTATCTTCCAAGACCTACTGTAATCTTCCACCCGACGTCCCATTAACTCACGCCCACTGAGTCCTAATCCAACTCAAATCCAGCCTCCCTGCCTCACGCCCATGATGGCCCACATGCCCATCACAGGCCGGCCTGCCCCCTGGTCAGCCTCTCAGCCCCACGGGCCGCCCTGCCATCACAGTCGTCACCCACGCCACAGGGCCCTACCTGGGTCCACTGCACCACTGCCCAGACTGCCCCATGCATCCCAGCACCAAGGGAGCTGCCCACCAGCCAGGGCGGCCTGCGGCTCCCAGCACCCGAGCGCCCCCCTGCAGTCATCCACTTCTGGTCTTCCTCTGTCCACACACAAGCAAACATGCCACGATGGAAATAGCTGTTGTACCAATGAACTAGGGGCAGTGTCCCCAAGATCCCACTTCATGTCCTGTGTCCATCTTTATAACAGCAAAAAAAACAGGTTCAGTCACCTGCAATCTTAGGGACAACATAAGCGCTGAGGCTGCCAACTAAATGTCAGGACAGCAAGCGTGCAGGGCCCAGTGCCCTAAGGTAGGCATGGGCCCTCGGCAGAGAGCGCCCCTGACTGGTGCCCAGGTCTCCAAGTGCTGAATGCTCAGGCTCTCACCTCTCAAGATTTCCCTGGGGAAAGAGCCCCTCGTTTCTTATTTTTAATTAACATTATCTCTATCTCAGGGGTCNGTCCTCAGGGGAGCCAGTGCACACGACACCCGCAGGCCGGGAGAGGCCGACACCCCATACTGACCATTTCCCTTTGGGCTTCGTAGTCAGGTCCACACAGGCGAAGTGAAACCACTCGATGGGACACTGCAGGGCGAAGGCAAGAGCTGGCGTCAGCCCTCCATGCACTTGCCTACAGACACAGACGGCGGCCTCCCTGCCTGCCCCCCCCGGGCCCGGCCCTGCAGCGGGCACCCACCGGCGGTGCCACAGGTCTGAGCTCCCGTCCTGCGCCCCCATGCCCCATGCCAGCACCCCTCCTCGCGAGCCCCCACACTCACGTCCGGATTGTCACAGCCTATCATCTCCCCATAGGACACTTGGTGGCACAGGCAGTAGGTGGGCTCGTTTGGGTCTACGGGCATGTCCAGCACATCAGACGGATGCACAGACAGGATGGTGTCACTGAACTCAGACCTGTGGGGAAACAACAGCAGTGAGCAGCACCTGGATGGGGACATGCTGCCCCGTGGTGCTAGACAAGGACACAGGCAGCAGGCACCTGGAGGTGTAAGGGAAAGGCACCCACCCCACAACACCTGGGAATGACTCCCTCCTCTGGACAGGACCTGCACCCTGGGCCCCATCCCTGGCCGACACCCCTGGGCTCCTAGGGGCCCCCTCCTGCACTGGGGCAGGCCCATGTCGCCACCCACCAGGAGGCAGTGGTGACACTTCAGAACCTGCCCGCATGCCACCCCAGACTGACCCAAGTGTCTGAATGGCCACCCTCACTTGCATGCCGGCTAACCACACCTCCCTCCCTGCGTTCATCCCAGGGCCTGGGACCCACAGCTTCCTTTATCCCCCTTGAGCTCTGTGTCCTGGGAGCTCCCACTGTCCACCCAGCTACTGACCCACCTGTGGGGCCACTTCTGACAGCGTGCCCCCAGCTGCCCAACCCCTGTGAATCAGGTCTGCTGCCCATACTCCCCATGGCCCCCAGGGATCTAACCCACAGCCCAGCTGGACTCCCACCTCACCCACCCACCCTCCAGGTGGGCTGCCCACAGCTCTGCAGCCAAGCACTGGGGGGCAGTGCCCAATGCCCACCTATGTTACATGAAATACCTGTGAATTTACTCTTCATGTGTTTCAGTGTTTTCCAAATAACTCTGCAAGCTGCAGGCTAGCAGACGGTACACCTCCACGCACACAGGAGTCTTCCCTATCCCATCCCCAGGTCAAGACGGCACATGCACACCCAGGTGGCCCTCTGCCACAGACATGGCAAATCAAGGCAGGGAGCCTGGCCCAGAGCCGCAGGTGGTGCGACTTCCCCTGAAGTCTGCTCCCAAAGGCAGTCACACCCGGTCTCCTACACCCATCCAGAGCCTCCCCCCGCCTCTGGGGTCACACACACAGGCTCCACAATGCACCCCATGAAGTGCCCCCACCATGAGCACTGCATGGGGGCTCCAGGCCGCTGGCCTCCCTATAGGAGGCCTGCTCTGTCTCTGGGAACAGACAGGATGCCCTTTTTACCTGAAATCCAAACATCACAAATGTGTCCCCAGGTGCCTGTGCTTCAACAGACTTCAAGCAGCTGTTGCCAGCACCCCTGCCTCTCCTGGGTGAGGGCTGTATGCCCGTCAGGGGGCTTCCCACCCAGGGTGACTCTGGATGACTGCAGCAAATCCCTTCAGGCATCACCCAGGGACCTGCCCACAACCCACCACCCTGGGCCTCACGCGCCTCCCTGCTGACATCGTCATGGCTGCTCTGCACTCTGCTTGCGAAGCGTGGCCAAACCTGAGCTGCACCCCACCCCCGGCTCAAGGACACCACCCAGCAAGGAGGCCAGGGGTCACCCCTGCACTGCCTCCTCTCAAGAATGACCTGAGGGCCTGTGTAGGAGGGGATGGGCACTTGTACTACCCTGCAAGGGGAGCACCCAGGAGGGTGCTGGGGAGGCTGAGGCTGGAGGGCCTTTCCCGCTTGCCAAGACCATCCCTTGGGTAGGCTGGGCGACCGCACCTCACTGAGGCCCTACTGGGCACAAGGTGTCCCCCATTGAGCTAATTCCCCCGGGCATGGCCTGAAACAGCCCTCACCAGGCAGTGCCAGGGGGCTCCTCTGTGCCTGACGCTCTGCTATGTCTCCTGACCACTGCAGGTGGCCCCCAAGGCGGCAACTCTGTCCAAGCTTTGGGATCCTGGGGGCTACAGAAGGAACTGCCACCTGCATCCACACACAGGTCCCACCTTCCACAGAACAGGACTTGGCCAGGCAAGTCCCTGGAAAGCAGCAGTGCAGCCAGGGAGCCTCAGCTGGAGGCCCTCCAGGCAGGAGGAGATGGCATCTGGGAGGTCTGCCAACCCGGCTCCCAGGAAGGCCCCCTGCCTGTCCTGGAGCGACCTTTAGAGTCCCCAACAGGGAAGACAGGACCTGCGACAGGCCAAGGCATTCAGAAAACTGCCCACACCCAGTGGTGGCAGTGTGCCCCCCTGTCCGCTCCCGCCCCAGGGTGGTGCAGGGTGACTCCCCCAGCTTCTCACAATGCCCTCTGACCCTGTGCTGCCGTGGTGCCCCCGTGGAGCCAGCCTGCACAGTGCCCAAGCTTGAACATTGGACCCAGACTGCAGAGCAGCCTCAGTGCCTCCAGCCCCACACTCCGGCCTCCCTGGCCCATCAGGGCAGCTGTGAGGCAGGGGCAGCCACACACTGTCACTCGGGCCCTGCAGGGATCAGGTGCACCGGTGCTCCAAGGTGCTCCACAGACGTCGCACTGGGATGATCCTCCCCATCCGCAGCCAGCCCAGCAGGAGGCCGGACTACATACGCTGAGCACCATCAGACAGTGGCCAGGAACACGCGTACCACCAGGGCTCTGCTGGGAAAGCCGTGAGCCAGGCCACTTCACATGCACGCCCAGCAATGGCTGCGGGCCACGTGGGTCATCATGAGGTCTCGGGCACAGCCAAGAGCTTGCCCAACATGCCTGGAGCCAGGGCCTCATCCCTCTGTGGGCCGCATGGTTAGGCAGAGACAATGGTAATGCAGTTCTTCCATAAAGCCCAGGTGTGCGTTAGGCTTCTAAGCAGAAAGGAGGAGGACACTACAAGTTAAAAACAAACCCATCAAATCACTGAAACCTCATTTCAAAGACACTGGAAGGCTGTGGAGAAGCAGGGTTCAATGCCCACGGGGGGCCACATTGGCCTGCACAGCCCCAGACCCCACACGCACAGCAGCCGTGACTCCTCAGTCTGGTCACTGAACCCGGGGCTACACAGAGGTTGCAGAGAGCCAGACAGGTGGAGCAAAGATTGCCATCATGTCCTCAGAGAAGGCAGCAGCCTCCAACAGAGCCAGCCTCCCCTCCAGATGCCTGCCAACTGTGGGGGCAGCATGGCTGGCAGGCAGGAAAGGGAAGTGAAACATCAGACCATGCAGAGTGACCCTACAGGCTGCCTTTCAGCGAGGTAGACAGACCCTCTGGGCTCTCACTCAAGAATGAAGCAGGGCCCCACCTCATGACCTCTGATACCAGAAGGGACTGGGTCTGCGTGAAGAGGCACCCAGCTGCCAGCCTGCTCAAAGGCGACCAAAGGGAGCTAACACATGGGGGACAGCAGAAACTTCAAACTCCATTTTTACACAAGGTCAAACAGACAATGAAAAAGCTATACAACATGAAAAAAAAACAGGAAAATGTGACTAATAACCATGAGAAAAGCTGGCTAACAGAAGCAGACACAGAGACCCAGATGTTAAAATTGGCAGACAAAATCTTGAAATAGCTATGATTAAGAAAATATGAATAAGGAAAATGCAAATATGGAGGCTTTTTAAAAAGGAGCTAAAATCTATTTTAAAAACGAATCAAATGGTTATTTCAGAATAGGAAACTACAAAATATGAAGTCACGTTTATGATCTCATCCATCTGTACTGACACCACCTAACTGTTGCCATGACAGTCAGGAACAAAAATGCCACCATCCACAGAAGCTTTCCATCTCTGAAGCAGGTCCGTGACCCAGCACTAAGCATCCTGCAGATCTAGGGAAACTGGGGTTCAACAGAACACACATGAGGGTTTGCTGATCTTGCTGAAGATCAAATGGGCACGCCATTGAGCGAAGGAGGAAGCACGGTGTGAATGCCCAGTAAATGGGCGTTCACAAGGTGTTCAGTCTTTCAGCAAAATGCAGACTCTGGGAAACTCTATGAATCAAAGAGTCCAGGTCCTTCAAAGGGAAAATTTTGGAGAAAAGAAAGGAATGAAGAAAAATGTATAAAGAGACTTAAAAGACTCACCTAAATAAAAAAGAACTTCACCTCTGACCACAATGTAGTCACAGGCATGGGACCTGCCCTCCTGTGAACAACTAGAAAACTGTACGAAACAGGGAACTGTTCTCACACACTAGACAAGGCAGCACAGGACAGCAGCCCCAGGAGAAGGGAAGGGAACAAGGCGGAGACCTGCAGTCAGCTTTCTCCCTGGAGGCACCTTCCACACTTCCAGCCCTTGCAAAGGAAACCAAACAGAGCGTGGGCATCTAGAGCCGAACGTCAACATCCAGGGAAGCAGGGCTGCTGGAGTTTGGGGCAGGGTACTGGGAGGAGGAAGCCAGAGAGTATGCACTCCAGAAACCTGCAAAGGGATCCCTTTGAGTTTTTAGCTGAAAACTAAGCTGACTATGCACAGGGTGAGGATCCACAAGGCCAGGTGGAGAGCCCTGGGGCTGCGAGCTGAGCAGATCCAAGGCCCAGCCAGCCAGAATGGTGACCTCGCCAGCATCCAAGGCATTCAGAAGAGAGCCCAGCAGGGCCGCACCGTAGCAGTATGGTTTAACCAACCCCAGAGTAGAGAGGACACTAACCAAGGGGTTAGCAAAATACACCTGCAGTTGGCTGCCTGTTTCTATAAATAGAGGTTTATTTTAAACACAGCCACACCACTCATTTCATATTTTCTGTGGATGTTTTCTGATATAAGATAGCAGAGCTGAGTGGTCACAATAGAGAAATATGGCCTGTGAGCCTAAAATATTTACTTATGGCCCTTGAAGAAAAACGTTTTTTATAAGATTAAAATGAGCTTGCAAAGGATCAAGCTGATCCACGGATGATGAAACTATTGACAAAAAAAAAAAAAAAAAGAATCCATTAAATGAAAACAAAAAATCCAGATATTTTCAACAACAAAACACCCACACACACGGTCTAGCATCCATAAAAAATTGCTAGACATATGAAGAAGCATGAAAATGTGACTTATGACCAGGATAGAAAATCAGTCAAAAGAAACAGACCTGTCAAACTCATCAGGTTGTATACACCAGATAGGTAAAGGTTTTGTTAAAAAAAGGAAAAGAAAAAGAAATAGACCAGGAAATGAAATAAATAGGATCAGAAGATATTTTTTTTAAACTATTGTAAATATGTTATATTCAAAGATATAAAGGAAAATATGAATGTAATATGAGAAAAAAAGTATTTTGAAAATACTTCTTGAGAAGAAATCTCTTAAATGAAAGACTCAATAAAGGAGATTAAGGTTAGATACCAAGGAAGAAAAGACCTGGAGATAAATAGAAACTACCCAAACTGAAGCACAGAAAGAAAAATGCTGACAAAAAAATAAGCAGAGCCTCAGTGATCTGTGGAAAAATATTAAGCTAACTAACATATATGTAACCAAAGTCCCATAAAAAGGAGAAAGGAAAGCAGAAAAAAATACTTGAAGAACTGGCTGAAAATTTTCCAAATTTGATGCAAATTATAAACCGACAGTTCCAAAAGCCCAATGAGCTCCAAGCAGAATGTACACAAAAAAACCCCACACCAGGATACATGATAATTGAGTTGTTAAAAATAAAGCTGCTAAATGGAAATCTTAGAAGCAGCCACTTAATATAAAGCCACTTATATACAGAAAAGATCAGAATTATCACCAATTTTTCATCAGAATCAATGCAAGATGGAAGACAATGGGACATCTTTAGTACTGAAAAAAGAAAAACATCAAACTAAAATTATATATCCAAAGAAAATGTCCTTCAAAAATGGAGGTAAAATAAAGACATTTTCAGAGAAACAAAAACTGACAAAATTCATCACCATCAGCAGACCTGCCACATAAGAAAATGTGAAAGGAAGTTCTTCTGGCAGAAGAGGAACACCAGGTGAAAATCTGCATTTACATAAAGAAATGAAAGGCTCTTGGAACTGTAAACATAATGGTGTGAACTACAAAGGTTTTTCTCATATTTTAAAATCTGTTTAAGATAATCAGCGGTTTAAACCGAAACAACAGCAATATACTGTTGAGGCTTTTATCACTGTAGAAGTAAAATTTTTGACAACAGCATAAGGGAGGCAGAAAATGGAAGAATACACAAGTAGATTCTTATATTAAACACGAAATAATGTATTATTGTTTGAAATTCGCTGTGGCAAGTTAACGAAAGAGGACATACACACTAGAACAGTCTATAAAGTAAAATACTAAAAAAAATACTCAAACCAAAAGAAGACAGGAACATCGGCGATCTAAATAACTTCCATCTTAAAAAGCCAACAGCAAAGTGAAGTAAACCCAAGTTAAGTAGTGGGGAGGAAATAACAAAGATATGAGCAGGAATAAGTGAAAGAAAACAAACAACAGAAAAAAGAACTAGTTCTCTGAAAAGAACAAGGCAAAATGAGAAAAGTTAATAAATCACCGACTTCAGGTCTGAAAGAGTGATCATCAGTGAAGACCCTACAGCAGGAGAATAATGATATGATATCATAAACAGTGTGGTACTGATGAATCTGACATCTTATATGAAACAACAAATTCCCTAAAAAACACAAATAACCAAAACTGTCTCAAGAAGGAATAGGAAGGTTGAATAGTTCCAGAACTTTAAAGAAACTGAATACAGCAACTAACCATATACTTCAAATGAGAGCATTTTACTGCATGTAAATTATACCTTAATACAGTCAATTTAAAAGCTGGAAAAAAAAATAGCGAAACTAGACTCCGGTGTCCAGGAATACACACGCGAGGGATAGAACCACGAAGAAAAGGCAGCCACTCCTCAGCCTGGGTGGTGTCCGCCCTCAGTGCAGGTGCAGCGCATGCCCTCGGTGGGCCCCGCAGGCCCACTGCGGCCCCACAGGAGGCGCTCGGGCAGGTCCTGAGACTGCAAGTCCATGTGGTGTTCTGCACGGGTGTGATGCTTTACAACACAAAGCTGGGATCTGAGTTATCTTTTGAAAGATAAAAGTTTAAACACCAGGTTAAAGAACCCAAACTTTCCCCTTTTTCTGTCAAGAACTCACTCTTCTGAGCTCTCCCTGTAACTATCAAAACCACATCCACCAAAGCCATGTGACATTTTACCATTTTCTCCACAGCTTAAACGTTACCTCTACGAAGCACTAGTCCAGTACCTTGGGGGGTAGCAGGTGGGAGGACGCTTTATAGGAAATAGTCTCAAGTTCAAGTTAAATGCGATGTATACTTAGTAAGTGTAGTCACACAATTTAACAACAAATATACCCAAAATAGGGGGTGGCTAAGAGGATGGGTCCCAGGATGAGGCCTCCAGGCACCAACGCCGCCCCGGCTGCTGTGTGCTGACCTGGCGCGTGCAAGCAGGAGGAGCGGCAGGACACCCGGCCCCGCACCCGGTCCTCAGGGCCAGCTGTGCCTGGCACGTCCAGAAGCAGGATGAACACGAACGGCGTCCTTTGGGGAAGCAGAGGAAAGAAAAGCACCTCTCACCCTCCTTTATGCTTCTTCTTCTTGGGGGTGTCTTCTTCTGAGGTCCTCCTGCCACGACCCCGCGAGCCTCTTTTTTCCTTCTGACCTCGACCTTCTGAAAGACAATAAAGATCCCAGTTGTCTTCACAGAATTCACTACAGCAAGACAAGATTTACCCAAGTACAAACTCTGCTGTGATATTCCTAGCACATCTACCAGAGTCCTCAGAACTCCAGTTAAGAGAAAGAGAGAAAGTCAGCGGACTTGCTTTTCAGCCCTCGGCCCCCGGAGCCTTCACAGTCGCTGCCCTCCAGCTTGTCCTTCAGATCCGCCTCGAAGCGCGCCAGGTCTGCGTCCAGCCTTCGGATGTGTTTATCCACCTGCACAGAGTACGCAGTCACGTTTAAAAGGAAGGCAAACACCATGGGAATCACAAACAACTAGGGCCAACAGGGAGCACTTTGTTGCCCTTTAACGGAGTCTCCAGTTAACAAAGCGCTAACACACCGCCACTGTTGCAGTGTTTACCAAGGGCCCTTTTCCCCCACATGTTCTGACACCTCAACTGAATAAACCCCACTCGGGAGAAGCCATGAAGGAAGGCGACAATGAGAGGCAGCACTGCGAGACACGGCAGACCCGACACTGACCCTAATTCAAGTCTGAAGTACGGGTGGGTTCTTACACAGAATTACCAAAGAAGCAGCGGGGTGAGGAAGGAGGGACAGAAAAGTAATGCTTCAGGCACAGGGAGAGCGGGAAGCGGGAAGAGGCAGTGCGGTCAAAGCCGCCAACAAGATCGCCGCCACGCTGCTCCCAGCAGAGACGCTCCTGCTGTGGGACGGCAGAGAGCACGGAATGACACAGTGCGTCCCTTCACCGGCGGCACACCACAGCCAACTGGTGCCACATGTGACCGTCCGCAAGAAGGGAGAGTACCCTTCTGCATCTGGAGATGAACTGCAATCCTAAACTACACTATGCACGGGAGAGAAAATTTGACTGTCTTAATGACATTTAATCAAAGTGAACTTTTTAGAAAACGGTCTATGCTTACTGTAAAGATGGAGCACTTTGGGGGCATGGAAACCCCAAATATAAGCATGAAGTTTTCTTTTCAGAGCATTCTTTCTCAAATACAAGTTAATTCAGGCTTTTAAGAAATTACTGCTTATCTTACTACACCGATAGACAGTGACTGCATTGGGGAATGGGGAGGACCCCATAATATGGGTGAATGTAGTAACCACATTGTTTTTCATTTGAAACCTTCTTAAGTGTGTATCAATAAAACACAAAAATAAAGAAATTACTGCTTATTTTTCACTGGTGTGGGAGGCAACTAGGTGACAGCCTGCAAGGACAAGCTGGGCTTCATTCACTACACGACCTTGTGTGCCACTGAGCGAGCCCAGAGTGAGGCTTACTTGGGAGGAACCTGGACAGAACAAATTCTAGGACTTCACCTCAAGTCAATTAAACAAGCACTTATATATAGAAAAGGATATATAAAACAAACAGCTGCCACAGCCAACCACAGCAGGAACGGCACACTGGACAGGACTGCAGTCACGGCCCCAGGGCCCCGTGTGCACCTTCCCCAGAGGTGCCTGGCCTCCACCCTGGGGCACCTCCGAGGGTGACAGGGAGGACGCGTGTGTGTGGGGAGGCCCTGCCCGCTCACCATCTCATAGGTCTGCATGGCCAGCTGCACCTTGTCGTCGCTGTACTCCCTGCACCTGCTGTAGGCGTCCTGGATCTTCCGCAGCTGCTCCACACGCTGGCCTGGAGAAAGGGCCTTCACCGTGGAGATGTACTCTGCAGCCAGCATGTCGATCTCCGCTTTCTTATCTGAGAAGGAAATGGCTGAAAAGCTAGTCCCTGCCCGAGACTCCCGCACAAGCCTGCCAGGCCAGCAGCAATAAAACCAACGATACCGAGTGCAGCCAAGAGGCGCTGCATTGGACCCTGGAGCACAGTGGGAAGCATGGCAGGCACAGGCCCCACAGGCAGCTTGGCATCACAGCGACATGCAGACACCATGACCAAGGCAGAATGCCAGCACGGTCCCGAGTATGACTGCTGTCCCAGCAAGAACTCATCACACCCTCTTGACGCTCAAGAGGCCTTATGTGAATAATAAACTATGTGCTCACCTTACCTGTTCTCTGACATACCACTCCTAGGTACACGTCCTAAAGATTTAGACACCAGGACACACATGGGGAAACATTCTTAACTGCAAAAAACAGGAAACGACCCAAATGTCCAACTATAGTAAAATGGATGAATAAGCTGTGGGCCCTCACACAAGAGAACCCTACCCAGACACAGAAAGAACCAGCCACTGTTACACATCCCGCATGGAGTGACCTCATGAAACGGTAGCCTACACAAGAAAAGCCAGACACAAAGGAAAAAAACTGTATGACTCTGTTAATACCAAGACTGGAAACGGACACAACTCTTAACTTCAAGAAGTGAGAAAACTTTTGTGGCAAGGGAAACTCAGGGTAGCAGTCCCTTGGGGAGCAAGGGGGCATGCTAGGTCACATGGGGCCCCCAGGCTTCCATTTCTCCATCAAGGGAAAGGTTTGCCAGGTGATATCTGTTCAGCAATCTATAAATGTTTATGCTTATTCTGAATGTAAATGCTCTTATTTTACAGTAAGAGAACTCTATATTTACTAATCAGGATGCTATACCTTGTGAAAAACGACAGCTATTCCAATCTTGCAGAACATGTGCCTGGCATAAGGAACAAAGAATCACCCACACCCAAGCACATCATCAAGACACGTAAAACCTCAGGGTTAAAGAAAACAGCCTAAAAGCTTCTACACTGGAAAGGAAAAAAGAGATCACATGTATGAAGGATGAGGAATGCAAATGGCATCAGATTTCTCAACAGCGACCTGGAAGCCAGGAGACAATGTAGCAGAATCTTTCCTATTCTTCAAGAAAAGGGTTGCCAATCTGGATTTCTATACCCAGCCAAACTATTAATCAAATATGAGGCTAGAACAAACATTTTCAGACATGCAACATTATACAGTTTATTCCCATGTACCCTTTTTCAGTAAACTACTGGAGGAAAGGCCCCTCCAAAACAAGGGGAAAATGAAGAAAGGGATGCCTACAGTGCAGGAACAGGGTACCACAGGGAGGAGGGGAATTCTAGGGCAATGCCTGTGCAGCCTAAGAAACAATCCATCCAGACAGGACCCATAGGTCAGAGGGTCTGTGGGGAGCACGCACAGACTGGCAGATAGATGACTTGGTGCAGCAGACACAATGAAAATGCTGAATGTTTGTGAAATGTAGAAAACAAAGCAATTAGGGACTACAAGAAAAACAGTTATTCTAAAAAGGTCATGTAAACATAGCATGCAGTGTGACTCAAACTACCTACACAGTGGTCACACATACCATCACTGATCCAGCACAAATGCAAATCCACTACATGAACTATAGTAAAATGGATGAATAAGCTGTGGGCCCTCACACAAGAGAACCCTACCCAGACACAGAAAGAACCAGCCACTGTTACACATCCCGCATGGAGTGACCTCATGAAACGGTAGCCTACACAAGAAAAGCCAGACACAAAGGAAAAAAACTGTATGATTCTGTTAATACCAAGACTGGAAACGGACACAACTCTTAACTTCAAGAAGTGAGAAAACTTTTGTGGCAAGGGAAACTCAGGGTAGCAGTCCCTTGGGGAGCAAGGGGGCATGCTAGGTCACATGGGGCCCCCAGGCTTCCATTTCTCCATCAAGGGAAAGGTTTGCCAGGTGATATCTGTTCAGCAATCTATAAATGTTTATGCTTATTCTGAATGTAAATGCTCTTATTTTACAGTAAGAGAACTCTATATTTACTAATCAGGATGCTATACCTTGTGAAAAACGACAGCTATTCCAATCTTGCAGAACATGTGCCTGGCATAAGGAACAAAGAATCACCCACACCCAAGCACATCATCAAGACACGTAAAACCTCAGGGTTAAAGAAAACAGCCTAAAAGCTTCTACACTGGAAAGGAAAAAAGAGATCACATGTATGAAGGATGAGGAATGCAAATGGCATCAGATTTCTCAACAGCGACCTGGAAGCCAGGAGACAATGTAGCAGAATCTTTCCTATTCTTCAAGAAAAGGGTTGCCAATCTGGATTTCTATACCCAGCCAAACTATTAATCAAATATGAGGCTAGAACAAACATTTTCAGACATGCAACATTATACAGTTTATTCCCATGTACCCTTTTTCAGTAAACTACTGGAGGAAAGGCCCCTCCAAAACAAGGGGAAAATGAAGAAAGGGATGCCTACAGTGCAGGAACAGGGTACCACAGGGAGGAGGGGAATTCTAGGGCAATGCCTGTGCAGCCTAAGAAACAATCCATCCAGACAGGACCCATAGGTCAGAGGGTCTGTGGGGAGCACGCACAGACTGGCAGATAGATGACTTGGTGCAGCAGACACAATGAAAATGCTGAATGTTTGTGAAATGTAGAAAACAAAGCAATTAGGGACTACAAGAAAAACAGTTATTCTAAAAAGGTCATGTAAACATAGCATGCAGTGTGACTCAAACTACCTACACAGTGGTCACACATACCATCACTGATCCAGCACAAATGCAAATCCACTACATGCAAAGATGGGAGGAGGGGACAGGGTTTAATGCAGAAGTAAATCTTCATTGCCCATATTCCCTGAGTAGATAAAGCCTAAAACTGAAGGGAAATAAAATAAGAAATAGCAGCAAAATTTAATGTTTAGAAATAGGGAGTTAAATGCCAAGAGATCAGAAAGTGCTATCTAACTTTAAACTATGAACACATAGTCTGGGAAAATAGAAAATCTCTTAAAGGGAAGAAAAGGTAGCAAACATTCTGCCTGCAAGGATGGGATAATGGTCACAGAGATGTGACACGGAGACATTAAGAACCCAAGGAGCTAAGTCTGAATTTCAAAGTACCAGCACTCTCTCTAAGATGTCATCAATGACCAAAGCTTAGGGCTAGGCCAAGGCCCCAGTGCACCGGGTCCCTGGGAGACTGGTGCCACCCCTCCTGGCTGTCAGACCCAGAGCTGGCTTTACTGAATGGCCTGGACCCACCTTCTGTCCTCTGGTCCAGCTCTCGCATGAGCTGGAAGTTTCTCTGAAGTTCACAGGGAAGGTTCTCAATGCCTGAAACACAAGACATGTCCTGCTCAGCAGCAGGATGAACTCTGCTTTCCAGGTTTCCCAGCTAAAATCTACAAATAATATGCCCACTTTGTCTTCTGTTTCTATTAGGTTTGGGGAGAAGGATTAAAGTGTCTTTTTCAAGGATGGGTACCAAACTCTACAGACAATAGCCTGTCACAATTAGTAAGTTGTCAGAAGCTGGAGAAGTTGGAGGGGGGTCAGAAACAAGCTCTGAGCAGGCGCTTGACTGCCTCTTCCACCCCAGACCCCAAGCCCTCTGCCCCCTCTACACAGTCCACCACCGCAACCAAGTCCCAAACCCCCAGGGTCCTCACTGACCCGCCCCTTCAACTTTATTCTGAAGTCCAGAGCCATCTGCTAGAACTTCATGCACGGACAGGGGTATTCGCTCTCTCCGCTGCCCAACACAGCGGGTTCTGGTCAAATGGGGCCACTGAGCACTCGAAATGGGCCAGTACTGCTGAGGAGCTCAACCTTTGATTTCACTCGTCTCAATACCATGGAGGTGAATAGGCCACGCTACAGCGCGGATCAGGAGCCCGCAGCGCTCTGCCTTCCTGTCTGCACTGCCGTGCCCCTGGGCCAGGCGGAGCTCCCCACCTGCCGCCACAGCTCCGACAGGCTCTACCAGGTTCCGGCATCCAGCCTCGGCACCTCCGCCCTCCTCATTGTGTGCTAAAAGCCGCTGTGTAAAGCCCCAGTGCTCCCAGCTCACCCAGAGATCAGCTCAGACGCCCTCCCACAGCCTCTAGGCTCAACACTCCCTCCCCAGAGACTGCCTCCCTGCACTGCCCTACCCAAAGCCCTGTAGGGCAGTGCCACCCCCTGCTCTTCTGCAACCTGCTGGGCTCCTTTACAGCCCTTTATCTTCTGTCAACTTTTAAAAAACCCGTCTGCCCCATTTGGCAGTGAATTCCAGGAAAATGGGGACCTGGCACAGAGCAGGTGCTCAATGAGCAGACAGGCACCTCCATCTCCAAGCCTTCTTCACACAGGTACCTGTGCATGAAAGAACTCACATTCCTCAAAGTCCTGATGGGACCCACTGGGCAGGTACCAGGACAGAGAAGGGCAAGCTGCAGTGCTCCCCCAAAGACACCTCAGTGCAGTACCTCTGGAATGACAATGAGATGGCGCTCTCCCACCCAGGACCCCTCACTGCTGAGGCTAGGCCAGAAGAGCAGAGCAAGTGGCCAGGGTCAGCCAAGCCCCTTGTGGAAAGTGGATCCCCAGTGCATCCCCAGAACGGGGTTCACTCCCTACTCTCAGCAGGCTGCCAGGCCCAGCGACCTGAATATTCCCAGGGAAGCACAGCACTCCAGAGCCACCTGGCCCAACCCCCAGCCCAACACCATCCCCGACAGGAGCCAAACCCGCAGGATTCAAAGGTGGGCTGTCCACTCTCACGGGTGACCTTGACAGGACGCTCAGCCTAGGGGCCCTTCACCCTGAGATGAGGGAAGTAACCATCCGCTCAGTTCTCAGGAGAGTCCAACTCTGCTCCACAGGCACAGAGAATCCCGAGGGCCAGCCCGGAAGCGTCCCACGGAGAGGCAGGCACCCAAGGAGACACTCCCAGCCAGCATCGCCTCCTCGCCTTGCAGATGCGCGAACTGAGGGTCGGGCCCAACACCACTCCCCGGTGATAGCACGAGCACGCAACAGAAGCGGGGCCCAGAGACCCCACGCGGGGCATAGTGTGCAGGGGGGTTAGGACTCCACCCCACCTGCGTGGGGCTGGGGCCAGCCACGAGAAAGGGGCGAGGCCCTGGTGGGGGCGGGGCCTGGTCGGGGAGGGGCATCACGAGGGGGCGGGGCCTCATGGTGCTGACCCCGCCGAACGCCCGCCGGCCCCGCCCCGTCATGACGGACCTGGAATTGGCGCGGCAGTGACGGCTGGAGCCCGCGCCGCGCCCCCCGCACACCATCCTCGGCCTCCGCCCCGCCCCGCCCAGCGCGCGGCCCACCGCCCCGGTCGCTGTCGGGCCTCCCGGCCGCCCTCACAAGCCCCGGGCGTCCGCGCGCAGCGCGCGGGGGTGGAGCGGGCGCGGCGTGGAGGCCCCGCGCGGGCGGCCTGCCCGGGGGCCGCGCGGGGCGCTTACTGTCCAGGTAGTGTTCCAAGTACATGGCAGTCGCCATCTTCATCCGTGGCCGCGCTCTGGGTCTGCGCGAGCGGGCGGTGCCCCGAGAGGCGAAGGGCGGGGCCGGTGTGCTCACTATTAATGAGTCTCGCGTTGTGATTGGCCCGTAGGGCGGGGCGCCGGCACGGCACGCCTCCCGGCTTCCGGCCGTGGGCTTCGCGTGGGAGCCGGGCGGGGATCGCACCGGCGAGGTGTTGGGGGCGGCGCAGGGCCCTGTCCTGCCCCTGCCCGCTGCCGCGCGCACCTGCGGCGGGCTCAGGGCAGGTAGTTGAGCGGGGGTTGAGCGCGCGGCAGGGGAAGGGCCGGCTGGCTGAACGGCCACCAGTTTCCGGAGCGCGGGCTGCGAATGCACTCCTCAAAAGCCCAGTCCGAGGTCAGGAGGTAGAGACAGTCTTTCCCTGCAGATTTTACGTTTGTTGTAAAAATCCAAACTGCAGGAACTTAAGTTTCCCCCCTTCCGAGGGCCGTGATGGTCTTGTTCACCTTTGCAGTGTGGGAACGTCCTTTCTGCCCGGTTTAATGCTTGGTGAGAAAACGGACGCACGCGTACATAATTGCACACAACCCACCTTTCTTACTGTTTTAAGTGGCTAGGGTTTCGGGTTTTTTTAATTAAAAGACTATTCTTTTTTTGAGAGGTCATCTCTCGTATTTATTGATCAAATGGTTGTTAACAACAATAAAATTCTGTATAGGGGACTCAATGCACAATCATTAATCAACCCCAAGCCTAATTCTCAACAGTCTCCAATCTTCTGAAGCATAACGAATAAGTTCTTACATACTGAATAAGTTCTTACATGGTGAATAGTACAAGGGCAGTCATATCACAGAAACTTTCAGTTTTGATCATGCATCATGAACTATAAAAAATCAAGTAAAAGACTTTTTTAAGCAGTTTTAGGTTTACCGAAAAATTAAGAAAATACGGAGCTCCTGTTTACCACCCGCACAGACACACACGCAGTTCCCCCTATTATAAATATTTTACATTAGTGTTATACTTTTATCTCCTTTGGTGAAACAATATTGATACATCAGTTTATATTTTAGGGTTCACTCTGTGTTATATAATTCCATAGGTTTTGACAAATGTATAAAAACGTATCCATCATTACAGTACCCTATAGAATAGTTTTTCTGCACATCCCCTGTGCTCCACCCACTCATCCCTCGCCCCACCCCCACAGCCCCTGACAAACCTGATCTTTTTTACTCTCCATAGTTTTCCGTTTTCCAAAATATCTTACAGTTGGAATATATTGGTATGTAGCCTTTGAAAAGTGGCTTCTTCCACTTAGTGATACGCATTTTCAGTTTCTTCTATGCCTTTTCGTGGCTTAATAGTTGATTTCTTAATCCTCAATAATATTCCACTGTCTGGATGTACCAGTTTATCCACTCACCTACTGAAGGACATCTTGGTTGCCTCCGAGGCTGCACATTTCTAAATAAAGCTACTATAATCATTTGTATACAGGGTTCTGTGTGGATATAGTTTTAAATTTCTTTGGGTCATGCCAAGAAGTGGGATTGCTGGATCATACTGCAAGATTACATTTAGTTTTGTAAGAAACCATCAGACTGTCATCCTGCACTATTTTGTGCCACCAACAAGGAACGGGAGCTCCTGTTGCTCCACATCCTCACCAACATTGTTTGTGTCAGTGTTCCAGATTTTGGCCATTCTAATAAACGTGTTATCTGCAATCATATGGTATTAATCACCTTTCACATGCACATTTGCCAGTGGTCCATCTTTGGAGGGGTGTCTGTGCAGATCTTTCACCTGTGTTTTAATTGGTCTGTTGGTTTTCTTACGGGGAATCATTGTGTCCAATTTTCCACTGTTTACATTTTTCACTTAATACTCTTCGTGAACATCTACCCATATTTTACTTCTACTGTATTCTGTTTACTGGATACATGTGTTGATCTACCATACTTTAATAAACTCCTTCTACACAGTATCTTGACTATTCCTAATTTTTCACTACCACAAATAACGCTCTGGTGAACATTTGTTTGTATAGCTGTATCTGCTCCACTTATTTATTGCTGCATAACAAACTGCCTGAGATCCTAGTGGTTTAAGAGAACCACATTATGGCTCCCCATTTTTATGAGCCAGGCATTCCAGCAGCACTCAGTGCAGTGATCCTTCTGTTCCGTGTGATATGAGAGAGATTCCTGGGCAGCTGGAAGGCTGCATTTCAGCCAGCATGGTGGTGAACCAGAGTGCCTGTGTGTAGTCCTCCGTACTCGTACTCCTTAGGTGGCCACTCAGGGCTTCCAGAGTTCCAGGAGGCCTTTGTGGAAGGTGCAAGTCTCGTGTAACCTCACCTCGGTCGTCCCAAGACATCGCCTCACTCCATCTATCGGTCAAGCAAGTCATTGGGGCCAACCTAGATTTGAGGGAAGGGGTAGAAAGGGTTGAAGCCATCTCTAACTTACCACGTTGTCTTAGTAGTTCTTTAGGATACATTCTTAGAAATGGAACTGCTGTGTCAAAGGGTATTGCTTGTTCTAAGTGCTGGTTCTTCTAAATTTTTGCCTTCTTCCAAGGGGAAGGTTGTACCAACTGATGCACCTGAGTCTGTTTCGATACGTTTGTCGGCCCTAGATTTTGTCATCCTTGCTCATCTTCACTGACTTACAGAAAGAAAAAAAACGACCTCAGTGTTTTAATTTGTAGTTGATTTTTAAGTGAATTTAAACATATTCCATATGCATTGGCTATTTGTAATTCTATCATTTTCTTTATGTCCTTTACCATTATCTATGGAGAAATTGGTCTCCATGCCTTTCATCTAAAAAATTTTTATTATTAAAATGGCCCTTCATCAAAGAATGAAAATATCTTCTTGACAGCACTGTCTTCTTTCATCCACTTAAGAAACTGACAGAATTCTCTTGCAGAGATCCTGTTTTAAGAATTACCAAAAAGAGAGATGACTCCCTTACTATCTTTTTCATTGCTATATACTTTAGAGCAGCTTCTCAACCTCAGCATTATTGACATTTTGGGCCCGATAACTCTTTGTTGTGGGGGGCTGTTCTGTGCCTTTTAGAATATTTAACAGCATCCATAGATGCTGTTGGCAGCACTCCCCAAGTTGTGACAATGAAAATCTCGCACAGCTAAAACCAGCGCTTTAGGGGAAGGCTTCAGGTCTAACAAAGAAACCCAGGCAAAATCCAGTGCTTATAAAAGGCAGAATTCAATTTCTTACGTAACAGTCCTAATGGGAACAGTCCAGTGGGTGGAGAGTCATATTCCATGAGGTTACTCAGTGACCCAGATTCCTTCTGGTGTGGTGTCTGGCCCCACAGGGCCTCCACACTGCCCTCATAGTCAAGGCCAGGTTGCAAAGAACAGTGTAGTGGGCTGAGGAAGGGTGTTCAGTCCACTGTGAGGAGCACACACCTTCTGCTCACATTTCATGGCAGTAACAGTCAGCCAGCCATATCTAATGGCAAGGAGGTCTAGGAAACAGGTTCTAGCAACGCAGTGACGTGCCCAGCACAATCTTACTCTTCTGATAGCACGTGAGTGCTTGGACCAAATAGCCCCCGAAAGTCACAGGTTGAATCCCTAACCTCCAATGTGACTATATTTGGAGGGCTAATTAAGAGAAAGGAACTCTAGAGACCCATCTCTGTCCACACCTCTACAGTAGAAGGGCCACGTGATGACAGTGAGAAGACAGCCATCTGCAAGCTGAAGAGAGAGCTCCCACCAAACACCATTCCTCCTGGCACCTTGATCTTTTGGAACTTCAGCCTACAGAACTGTGGAAAAATTAATTTTCTGCTGTTAAGCCACCCAGTCTGTGGTTTGTGTTTTTTTGACAGCCCAGCAAACAATGAGAAAGACTTTGATAGACCATAGTAGCAATGCCTGACCAATTCCTGGGACATGGCAGGCGCCACACACTGAGAAACGTAGTAAAAGGGCTTCTGTCTTTTCTTTTTTTAATGGAAAAATCTCAAACAGTAAAGAGAATCTAATGAAAAAGTATAGAGAACCTAATGAACTCATTATGCCCATGGGCCAGATTCCCTCCATTTTCACAGGAGACCAGGAAAACTACACATTGAAAAGCTGATGGGCTGATTCCGTCTGACTGGTGAGTGAGTTCATCATCCAGTTGTGGTACAAGACTGTCCTGGGACTTGTCCAACCCAGGGAGGTCTCTCTTTTGTATTCTAAACCCTTCATCCTTTTGAAGGCAAAGAGATGGACATTTTGGAGCAGGAGACATCCAGCAAAGGGACGTCACCTACATTAAACACTAGCGTTTGTATCAGTGAGCTTTCACGCGGTTGCGCTGCCATAACAAAGGACTGCAAAGTCTCAGTGACTCAGAATCTTGTTTATTTCTTGCTGGTGGTGCTATACCTATCAGCCGCAGTGGCTGTGTCTTCAGTCCAGGATGAAAAAGCTGCCCTAATTGTACACACGCTTTTCTCACACTGGGGGACCAAGAAGTGGGAGAACCACACAACAGCTGTTAAACTGTCCACTTTGCGGTGGTAACCGCATGACTACAGCATTTGGAAGTCACATGGCCAAGGTCAACACGAAGCACGGAAACAAATGATGGGTAATAATATAATGCAGCACCCTTCCAGAATCGAGCCGAAACCTAGCAAGGGTCAATCAGGGAAACGCAAACCCACTCTAGGTACTTTGGGTAATACGTAATCAGGGCTTAGGCAACCACTGACAGGTCAGGGAAGTTGTTGCCAGTGACCCCAGCCCAACCACTGAGGTCGGGAGCTCGGGAGAAGCCACTGGCATCCTCAACCCCAGAAAGACCCCACCAATCTCTTTGGTCTCAAAAGCGCACTAGAAAACAGCCTTGAATCTAACGTCTGCCACATTTCTGGCAGCGACTGCCTCCCTGAAATGAAGACCTCCAGACAGCACACTAATGCCTCTGCCGGCGAACTCTAAGCCAGCGGCACCCAGGGACGGTGCGAAAGGCAGCTCCCGGCTTGCCGGGCTGGGTGTCCGCGTCCGCCCGCAATTCCTCAGGTCCGGACCCTGCACGTGACGCTGCCTGGCGCGGGCCTGCGGAGCCAGCGGGTCGGCAGCGCGCGCCCCCACGCTGGGCACGGCCCTCGCCGGAGTGCGCGGACCCCCGGGCTCCCCGGCAGCCTGGGTGTCCCCGAGAGCCGGGGATCCCTCTGCGACTGGCTGTCCGCTCCGCCCGCCCTCGTCGCCGATGAGACAGCCTCCTCTCCCTGGGCCGCCGCCACCGCGGCCCCGCCGCCCAGCAACGCCTCCGCAGCCCCTCGGCTTCCGGCCTTTCCGGAGGGCGCGACTCCGCCGGAAGGGGCGGTGCAGCCAGGTCTCCGCGGGCCAACCCCGGGCCGATCCCAGCTCATCAGCCTGCGCAGGGAAATACCAGGCAATCCCAGCGTGCGCCGCGGACGCCGGCCAATGGGGGCTCGGGGCGGGGCGGGGCGGCGGCGGCGCGGCGGGAAGGGGCGGCGATGGCGGGCCGGCGCGGGGCTCTCATCGTGCTGGAGGGCGTGGACCGCGCCGGGAAGAGCACGCAGAGCCGCAAGCTGGTGGCCGCGCTGTGCGCCGCCGGCCACCGTGCGGAGCTGCTCCGCTTCCCGGGTGGGTGGAGCGCGCAGGCAGTCGTGGCGGGCGTGGGGAGTCTCTGAGACGGGAGCCCGCGTGGGCCTGGGGACCCCTGGGGTCGGTGGGGACGGAGGGCCTGTAGGGACGGGGAACCGGGCGCCGTAGGCCAGCCGACGCCGTGCAGGGTACTGCCTGCTCTGGCTGTCGAGCCCCGAATCGAAGGGCGCGCGGAGGAGCACAGGCGCGCTTACCTTGTTCGGGCCCCGAGGGCGGAGCGGGGCTGCGGCGGCCCGCGGTCAGCCCTCGCCAGTGGGAAGCTGTGGGGGTAGCTGTCTTTTTCTACCCTCTTAACTCCTGGTGGCTGCTGTGTCGTGTCACTCAGTTCTGATGCACCTGTGCTTTTATTTTGCGCAGCTCTATTCATCTGTAGTTTGATGCGCCAAGTGCACAGAGTACGGTTTGATCCGTTTTTACATAATTGTACACCCATGAACCGTTTTCACAATCAAGCTAATGATCATATCGTCACTCCCAAAAGCTTCCTGTGCTGTTTGGTAACCCGTCTTGTATTTTGCTTTTTTGCTCTTTCTGAATAGCTGTTTGCCCTGTGAGGGATTTTTGGCATAGCTTTAATTTTTAAAGTTGAACAGGGACTTTGAAAGTGCTTATAAAAATATCGCCAATACTTTGGTACAAGAGACAGCTTACTATTTACAGAGTGGGTAAGGGAAACGGGAGATGCTTCTTAGAGTGTCTGTCGTTCTAATGTTTAAGCCAGCCGGGTTACAGGTTCCACGCGCCTCCCGTGCGGTCACTGCCCTCTGCCTTAGTTCTCCTGACGCGTTCACCCCCATGTGCCTGCTCACTGCTGCCCTTTCTCAGGAAAGCTCCCTGGCTTCAGGGGATGGTCGGAACCCGTGTAGAGATGTGCTAGAATAAAACTCAAAACTAGACTTCAGTCCAGGACCAAAGTTCAGCAGAGACTATATTCAAATTTAGATGGAAAGCCTGACCTTACTTTTGTATTTTTCTCCTTTTCCTAAAGAAAGATCCACTGAAATTGGCAAACTTCTGAGTTCTTATTTGGAAAAGAAAAATGAGGTGGAGGACCACTCGGTGCACCTGCTCTTCTCTGCGAACCGCTGGGAACAAGTGTAAAGACCCACCCCCTGCTGCTCTCCCGCCTGTTCCTCCTGAGATTGTGTGAATGCCGCCTGGTTCTGAACGGTGTTGACAGTAGTACTGGAGGCTGTACCTTTACAGAGTTCCATTATTCACTGTCCCTAACCCATAGCTATTTCCTATAGCACGAATTAATGCTTTTTCCTCCTCCTGCCCCCACCCCTTTTTGTAACAGACTATTTCTCTGGGTAGTTTCAGTATATGGAAGAGCCGATGGGAAGGTACAGAGCTCCCCATGCCCCTGCTGCTCCCTCCTCCCAGTTTCTTTTATTGTTTATGCCTTGGATTTGTGTGTTCCGTTCCTTACAGTTGATAAACAGTGTTTACGTTTAGTTGGGCTGACCCTCTTCCCACCCCCTACAGTGTTACAACCCTCTTCACTCAGCATTTAATTGTTCTCTGAGGGCGTGCAGCATGTGCTTTCAGATGCTTTTGTTTCTGTTTACGCACATAGATGACACACGTGTCCTCATGTTTTCTTGCTTAACGTAAATAAGTGGGATGCTGCCATCCAAGTCATTTCACAGCTTGCTCCCTGACTTTGCCTCGCAGGCCCGTAGCTCTTCCTCATTCTTTCCCGCTGCTCTAGCGTGCTCTCTGGCAAGGCTGTTGTACGGTAGATTTAGCTAGCGGCCTGTTAATGGAGCTGCATGTGGCTTTGTGTTCTCCCTCACAGGAAGCCTGCAGTACTGTCCTTTGAATGGCGTGGTGCCTTGCTTGGAAGGGCCTTCCCCACTCAAAGTATTAGAAGGACATGAAACCATTTTTGTAATTTCGTGATCTTTAATACATCTGGCATTTATGGACATAGCTATTCTGATTTTGCTTTTTGTGGCTTTTTAGAATAGTAACTTGGCCCAGTTAAGTAACTTGGTCATGAAAATACTGACTCTGCTTCCTAAGTAGTGGTTTTGTCCCAGGTGTGCAGACCTGCTTGTTGGCTATCCATCTTCTCTGCAGCAGCACCCAAGGCCCCCTGTTCAGAACCTCCCAGCCATTGCCTGCAGGTTAGTCTTTCTGAGACTTGAAAGTCCGTGGGGACAGATCAGAAGCTGTGTTCACATCTGCCAACAGCTGTGTGACCTCGGCCTGTTCTACCCTCCACCACAGCTTCCTCCTGAGCAAAGGTGGCGTGGCACCGCCTCTTGCGGGTCCCGTGTGAGGGTCAGTGAAGTTGGCCAGGCAGGCCTGGGAGGGAGTGCTTAAGCAGCCTAGATGTTTTGAATGCACCTTGGTACTTGAAGCACTTAAGTGAGGAAACTGGTTATTTTCTCAAGCCTTTTAATTTTCTATGCTTTTGCTTTGTTTCGTCTTAACTGGATTGGTTGCTGGTCCCTAAAGATGTCCTGCCTTCTAGCTTCTATACAGTTTTCCCACGGGATGGCATAATATGCTCCATTACCCCTTGTCTCTTTTCGCCAAGACCTACTGACCTTCTAGGGCCATGTAGGAATTCATTCTGGAAACAGTAATCTCTCTTATTTCCCATAGCAATCCTATTTTTTACTCTATTTTTGGACTTTTTATTTTGACTTTCAATCAACCACAAAATTTACTAGACTAATTCCAAGAATTCCCAGGTTTTCTTCACAGAGCTTCACCTGTTAGCATTTTGTCACATTTGCTGTGTCATTTGCACACTCTCTTGAAAAACCACAGACTATTTTATAAAATGCTGAGTTTATCTGAAGTTTCCTCACAAGTAGGTCTGGGTTTGCATTTTTGTCAGGAATGCCAGGAACGAGACCTTGGGTCCTCTTCAGGCCATCGTGCCAGGACGGATGTAAGGCAGTTGGGCCGCCACTGGCAGTCCATGGAACCATGTGTGGGGTGCCAGACAGGCTCTTCCCATGAGTGACTTTCTCTCCTGTTGTAAATAGTCAGAGGGGGAAACTCTACAAAATTATATAAATACCCACTTCCTTATCAGACTCTGACATCCTCCTCTAGTAATCCAGCGTAAGTCTCTGTTACTATGACTTTAAAGGAGGATTTCCTAACTCCATCATTCCTTCTACATGTATTGGCTGGCAATCCACCTAAGGAAGAGCATCTGATCCCCCAGAGAGCATCATCAGTTGGATTCACAAATTCTTTTTTACTCAGTAGATCACAAACCACCAACATCATTCATTTCGATTTTCAAAGTTCCAAATTTGGCTCCTGGGTATCTCTACAGTTGGGTCCTCTGTCCATCTGACGTGTTGCCAGGGCTCATATTTTGAGGATCTTCTGGTATAACATGTTCAGGCTTCTCTCATGTTTTCGCCCATGCCAGTCCAGGAGCCAGCTGTTCTTTCCTTTTAGTGAAGGATGGTATTTAGAAACCAACCTCTGAGTGCAAGATATGCTTGGTGCAGGTGGGGGTTCCTGCCGTAGACAGACCTGCACACATTTATCTGTTTCTGTCTGTATATTTATACTAAAATGCGGGCTAACACTGACTCCTGCTGTTCTAGTCCAGCACCACAGGGCTCTTCTTGGCTCCCCTACTGACAGTAGTGGGTTCACTCATTTCTCAGTCCTGCAGTCTACAAAAAGTGGTTTTGGAATTGCTGCCTCACACCCCTAAAAGCCCAGGTCAAGGGCAGGGCTGGTTTGCAGCTGTGTCATCCCCAGGCACATAGTGCTCTGTTCGGAAGCCTCTTGGGGCAGGTTTTCCACTTCACTGCATGTCCGTTTGGGATAGAGTTAACTTCATTTAATTCTATATAAAATTTTAGGGTTTTTAAAATCATCTTTTTTATTTAATTTTAGTCTTTGAATACATAAAACAAATGGTTCTAAAGGTCAAAACCATACAAAAGAGTCACTGCCCTGCCCACTCCCTTTCTGTCCAATTCCTGCCTTCCTGCTGTGGGCAGCTGATTCCATTCATGTCAAGAGTTGCCCTCCTGAACTTTTTTGTTTGTTTTTACAAAACAAGCAGATACGTATCTTCACCCTTCTTAAGCAAAGGAGAGCCTCCTCGTGTGTGCTGTGTTTTGCTTCAGGAGCTCAGTTTCTGTCTGCTCGTAGACATCTGTCTCATCTTCACAGAGCTGAATCACTTGCCATAGTCTACCGATCTCCTGTTTTCAAGAGTGGACGGTTGTTTAATAGTTTGCAGTTACAAATAATGCTCTGATGAAAACTGCATCTCACTGTTGGAGGTATGTCTCCTCCCTCCAAACCATGGGAGCTTCCCAGGGCCACGGGTACCAAATCTTTTCATTCCCCAAAGTGTAAGTGATTGCTCTTGCTAATGTCCAGACCTTGGTGTACATCTTCCTAAGATCCTGGGGCTGGAGATCGTGGGGGACTTGCCATCACTGGTTGACCTGGCATCCTGTCTGTCTTTGTCCTTGCACTTGAGGCTCCAGGGCACAAACATCACTGCACTGCCTTCTGGCTGGGTCCTCCTGTTCGCACCTCTGCCCAGACAGCCAGGCAAACCTCGCTTGAGCGCCCATCCCTTGCAGTTGTGCATGTGTTATTCTCCAGTGGACTTGTCTTCACGTTGGGCTCTGCTGGGAGGACCCATGAGGCACCCACTACACAGAAGACCCCGAGCTCTCTTGAGTAAAAAAGGGTTACCGTTGCTGCTCATAATCCCTTCATAGGGTTGGTTTCTGAACTGCTGCATTGTTTCGTTAGGATTGTCTAAGCCTAACAGTTTGGGGCGTGTGAAGCAAGGCCCGTGGCTCAGAAGCGTCCTCTGTTTTTTAGGCCATTAATTAAAGAGAAGTTGAGCCAGGGTGTCACCCTCGTTGTGGACAGATACGCATTTTCTGGTGTTGCCTTCACTAGTGCCAAGGAGGTGAGTGCCGCTTGGTCTGATGGGAGGGTGCCAGGCATGGCCCAGAGCAGCAGTTGGAGCACATGGATGCTCTCACCTGCCTCCAGGGGGTTTTGAGATCCTTATTTGCTAGGTTAACTTGGTCCCTTTCGGTACAAAGAACAAACATATATGTAGCTACAGACTTTTTTCACAAACTTTTTTACTGGGGTGACACGCTTCACATCACACACTCCCCAAGCTGGTCCCTCAGCACTGCTTCATATCCAGGGTCTTGCTTTCCAGCCAGACAGCAGAGCATCCAGCCTCCTGCCCCTTTCTGAGTGTGCCCACAGAGAGTGTGACGCTCCGCCTGCCTTCGTACCTCGCCACACACGCCGCCAGCTCTTCCTGCTGCTGCACTGAGGCCCGAAAAGCCCTTGAAAAATACAATCTCACTTCAGAAAAGCTCGCCGTATTCTGTGATGCTGCCATTCGGCCATGTTTAGAGTTTCCAGTTCTCCCTCGGGCTGTTTGATTTAGTTGTGTTTTCCCAGTTAGATTGAGTCAGAATCCAGTTAATACTTGAACTGCTCTTGAATTTCTTTTAAAATATAGGTCTCACCCCTCTTTCTCCTTGCATTAAATTTTTAAAAATGGGAGCATTGGGCTCACCTCTCCAGAGGCACAGGATATCTGGTTATCTCTTGTCCTAACAGCCCTAGAGGATTACTAACATGGATAGTTGCAAAATGATGACCTGTAATTCTGCCAGTCCTTCACGTGCTAGACAGACTTCTTCTTTAAAGGACGCTTCCTATGAAGTGTTGGTCACTCTGATTCCGTCTGTAAAGGAGTACAGGACAAATGATTGGCATGCCATGGGCTGATCCCCTCCCATCCTGAGGTACCGCTGAGTAGCTGGACAGCTGTGGGGAGGCCCACAGTCCTTGGGCTCAGTCCTTGCTCAGTGTCGCCCTTGACCATGTGGTTCTGAGCTCACAGCTGGGCCTAACCCTAAATTGTCAGCTGTGTGGCCTCGAGTCACAGCCTTTCTGGCCGTAGCTGCCCCTCCAGAAATGGGGATGCCGCTTGTGGAGTCGATAAGACCAACCAGGAGAGCTACCGTGCAGGAGAGATCACACTGTGTGCATGCGTAGCAGCTTCCAGAATGGTCGGTCCTCCCTCCTTCCTCTTCTGGCAGCAACGACAGCCTTGTGGGTGTGCTGGCCCTGTGCACTCCCTGCCCGGCCTCCTGTGCTGGGGCCTCTGGGGCTCCTGCCACGCGGACTGTGCTTCCTGCCTGGCCACCAGTCAGCACAACTGCCAGAGGCCCCGGCTGTGGGGCATCCTGAACATACACAGTCAAACAGACGAAGGGCGCGCAGGAGGGAGCAGGAGAAGAGCCGGTACCACGGGGGAACCTCAATTCTCGGTGTCTCCGCAAGTGCTGGCTTGTTCCCCCTTCTCTTAGGAATTTTGAGACCCAAACTACACTGGTCTACCAGTAAGGTTCTCTCTAACCGTTGGGTACTTTGTTGCCAGAACTTTTCCCTGGATTGGTGCAAGCAGCCAGACGTGGGCCTCCCCAAGCCGGACGTGGTCGTGTTCCTTCAGTTACAGTTGGCGGAGGCTGCCGCTCGGGGAGAGTTTGGCCGTGAGCGTTACGAGAACGGGACTTTCCAGGAGCGGGCTCTGCAGCGCTTCCACCAGCTCATGGGGGACCCGAGTTTGAACTGGAAGGTGAGAAGTCACACTGTTGCCTGCAGAACTGCAAATTGGGAGCCACAGGGCCGGGGCCTGGGATTGCTTCCATCGGGCGGGGCAGGGGCAGGCCCTGCGGTTCCTGCCAGGCTGCCGGCACTCCTCCTTCTCTGCCAGCAGCTCTGCACCTCTGTGCGTTCTGCAGAATGTGGGAACCGAGCACCTTGCCAGTGAGTCGTGGGGCATCTGACAGCAGCTCCGAAGCCACAGGCCCACCAGGGGCTTTTCAGATCTGACACCCAGGGGGTTCCTGTCCTCCACTGGGCTGTGGCCACATGTCATTCAGAACACGAGACCCCCAATCCCTCCTCAGGTTACCTTCCATTTTTACCATGAGCATCTAGCTCATGGGGGTCTAAGCCTTGTAGTCCCTCCCGTTTCAGAGCTCAACCACACTCCGCTCTCCTTTCAGCCCGTCGGAGTCACACTGCCCCCTCTTGTTGCCCCTACCCCAGCACCATTCCCTGCCGCGTCTTGTGAGGACCATGCCTCTGTCCATGCCAGTGCCCAGGCCTCACCAACGCGCTCCAGCCCCACCCCTGGATGCTCTCACCATGCCCCTGTGCTTGGCCCTAGTCCCAGGAGTCAGCCTCCCTGCAGGACTGTCCATCATCCCGTGGTCCTTGCAAGGCAGCCAGCGCCTCTCCCGTCCTCCCTACACTCCCGGTCCCCACTTCTCTCCAGCACATGCACCCCTGGGCCGCCTGTCCCAGCTGCCAGGGGCCCTGGTGCAACACGCATGCTGCGCACACCTGCGCAGGGCGAGCACCGTGCCTTGGCTGTTGACGGCAGCGACTGCCAGACGGGCTGCAGCCTCGCTGCTCCTGAGAGTTCGGGTGTCGGCCTCGGCCATCTCGTGCTTTATGCTCCCCCCTCGGCCTCCTGTGGCCCTCCCCACTGTCCTGCACTGGGGGCTTTTTGTGGGGTAGGTGGCACAGGCATTTGTAAAGTACAGGTCCCCTCCCTCCATCTGAAAGTAGGACATAGCTGTGGAAAGAGAAGAACCACTAATTTATATAGAAAACCTTTTCAGCATTCCCAGACCCAAAAGGTAATTCTCTTAGGCTGCTCCAATACCTTAGGACACACCCTGCTAACAGGTACACAAAGTCAGTCAACATAAAGCACAGATGCTCACAGTTCTGACCTCCATCAACATGATGCCAAGATCCTGAGTGGGTTCTCAGGAAGGAGCTCGGGGCCGCTCTCGCTGCTGGGGGGCACTCTGTCAATATCTGGGCACTCGGGGTGCTTGCTCACAGGCCCTCAAAGGACTAGAAATGTTCATGTTTATGTACAGCAAGCACATGCGTGCATGTGATATGTTTATATGTGCATGTTTATATGTGGTAGACGTGCTGTAAGCCTGCCCAGAGAACCGTGGGTGTCCACAGTTGGTGACAGTTCTGTGTAAGAGCCTGGCAGCTGGAACTCCCAGCTGGCTGGCAAGGTGGCCTCAGGAAGGTGACACTCATGTGGGGTCTTAAGGCTCTGCAGGAGGACACCCTCATTCCTGCATAGTCGGACCTCACGAAATGGTTACATTCTTCCAAGTGTGTCTGCGCCCCTGTGAGCTTTTCTGGAAGTTTCCACCCCAGAGGCTGCCTGGAAGGCTCTTAGTCCCATCAGGGCTGAGCACTCACCCCAGCCCAGACCAGCAGCCCATGGTGCACGGACACTGCATCTCTCCCTCCTCCCTCGTGGGGAGCAGTCTCTCACAGCTCCCCTGGTGACCCATGTCCTTCCTGCCAGCAAGAGGGGGCAGTCCTGCTGTGTCAGACAAACCCCTCTTCGGGGAGAGGGTTCAAGATCCAAGGTTGGCTTGTGTGTGGAACTCCTGAGCTCCAGGCGGGGCTGTGGCTGTACAGGGCTGCAGCAGCCCTTCCTTCTGTCCCTCAGCGGTGTCTGGGTCTGAGTGCTACCACCTGTGGTCCCCGGCCTGCGTAGGTAAGAGGTTTCTCCTGCATCTGGGCTGTGGTGGGAGTGCAGGGTAGCTCTGTCTCAAGGACATAAGCAAAGCCCGCCTCTGCAATCAAGGCCAAGGGTCAGAGAAAGGTGGGGTGAAGGACCCAGAGGTGCCTGTGCTGTGCCCTCCAGAACCCATCCCCATCTGAAATTCCTGTTCATGCTGAGCAGTGACTAGCACTGACCCCTCTTCTGCCACCCCATGGGGACAGGTGGTCGATGCCTCCAGAAGCATGGAAGACGTGCACAAGGAAATCTGTACCCTCTCCGAGGACACCATCCATGCTGTCTCACAGAGGCCGCTGGGGGAGCTGTGGAAGTAGATGCATGGAGCCCCCTCCCCTGCCATCCTGCAAGCCCCAGCGTGCAGACAGCTGCCCTCACAGGTGAACAACCTGGTGCTATGTACCAAAGCGGCTGCAAGTGGAGCCCCCGGGCCACCCTGTGAGCTGGGGTCCACGTGTCCTGGCTGCCTTCCTCTGCCTCCTTTTTGCCCTGAAGATGTCAATAAATTATTGTGCTTTTCTATGGACAATAAGCAACAGCCACACCCAAGTAGTTTCACTGGAATCATTGAAATGGCAATTGGTTGAAATTCTCCTGCATTTCTAGTAAAAATCAGGCACTAGTAAAAGTTTATTTGAAAATGTGTTATCATAGGCCTCACTTGGGGCTGAGCTTCCCTGAGCAGGTCCTCCCGGTGGGCAGGTCCCCTGCACTGGGCCTTCCTCCCTGTCCTTGTCTTGGGGTTGCCACCATGGGTCTAGCCAGTCAGCCATGCCTGGGCTCTGAGCGCCTCGCTGGGCCCCAGCCAGCCACGTGAAGTGGCATGACGTCCCTTGTTTGAACACATCTGATGTCAGCATTGCTGTTCTGCCAGGATCCTAAATGCCAGGGGTGTGACTCCATTCCGCCCCCTTTTCAGTGACTGACAGCAGTTTGATGACACTGCCTCGGACAATCCTCTGGCCAAGAGCAGTGTGCCCTGCTGGGCCAGGAGCTCTGGGGTGCCTGGCTTCCAAGCAAAACAGAAGGATGATTCTTTGCGGGATCACTGGTTTGTAAGTCACAGGAGGGCCTGCACAGCAGCAGTGCTCAGGCCACTGGCTCCCTAGCACTGGGCAGGGTCTTCTCATCCACCCATCTTGTTCACGGTCCCAGGCCCGTGGGGGTGATGCCAGGATGTGACCAGGCAGTCCAGCCCTCAGTCCTGGTGCCTGCACAGCTTCTGGTGGTGCAAGGGAAGTGACAGGTGAGGCTGGATGGTGGCTCTGCACACTCCCAGTGAAGCCAAGCAAGACTGTCCTGGGGGTGAGGTTAGGTTCCATGTTGTCTGTTCCTGGGGTGTAAGAAACTCAGTGCAGCCCTGCCAATGGCCACAGGTCAGCCTTGGGCAGCTGTCCATCTGAAGGGTCTGCTTACATTCACCCAGACGGTGTAGCACATGCTTAGACCTAAGACCGAGGGACAGTGGCAATCTGGAACTGTGGACAGGCCAGAGCCCCTGCCAGACGGCCTGGCCACACTCCCGTCATCGACCTGCTGCTGAGACTTCCTACATGGCATGGTCTACATAGTAGTGTATGATGAAAACACAATGCTGGGTTGACTTCCTAAGGCCTGCGACCTGTAGCTGGCCTGCCTCTTGCCGCTGCAGTCAGGGTCACTGCAGGGCAGCCAGGCTGGCACCCAGGGAGAGGTGGGGCGGGTGTGGGTGGCAGGTCAGCCGTGCCTGAACACCCAGCACAGGTCAGGACCCCTCAGCTGGAGCCGCAGAGTGCAGGCAGGCAGGACTTCCCGTGGCCCAGGCCAGGATGGGGGCGGGGGAGCCACAGTGCAGACACCCTTCTGGGCTTGGCTGGGGGTTGGAGGTGGTCAAGAGTACAGGAGGAGAGGCGGGAGCTGCCTGGAGTCCCTCAACTGGCGCGTGGTGAGCCTGGGGTGGAGGCAGAAACTGTCCAGCAGACCTCAAAACTAACAGGCCACTTGAACTTTCTTCTATAAGTAAGCAGATGCTTGAAAAATCCCACCAGGGTGGCAGCGGCAGGTGTGGCCAAGGGGCTCCGTGTTCCAGAGCACCACATCGCCGCTTTCGGTGTCTCCCTGAGGAAGCGTGCTGACCACTGTGGTGCGTCCCAAGAACATCCACATCCTTGTCCCTGGAACCTGTGAATGGGGGCACCTGCCTGGCAGAAGGGGCCTTGAGATGGCAGCCATCCCAGACTGTCCGGAAAGGTCCTAGATATGGTCACAAAGGTCTCTAACACAGGCAGGCGGGTCCTCGTTAGAGGAAATGGGAAGATGGAGAGGAGTTGTGGGTGGCTTCTTGAAGCTGGAAAAGGCGAGTAAACCTCCCCCAGAGCCGGCAGAAGGAAGACCTCTGCCCCAGACCCTAGGAATAGGACTTCTTCCAAGGCCCTGAGGGCACTTCCAGGGGCTGAGACTCAGGGCCCTGGGCCACTCGGCTGGGGGTCCAGCAGGGCTTCCTGCCTTCCTGTCTGGCTTTGGTCCCCTTGCACTCACCTGAAGGGCAGGTGGCTGGGAGGAAGAGGAGAGCCAAGCAGCTGGGGTCTCCCCACCTGTCCCACCAGGACTCTCCGGGCAGGGTGAGTGGACTTTGCTTCCGTCCTGCCCCTCATGACCCACACAGGTGACTGGCCGAGGCACCGGGAGCCAGAGGTCCGCTTGCCCGAGGGACACTGCTTTGCGAACAAATGAAGGCCCACCCGAGGGCTCTCGCCAGCCTTGCAAGCTGCAGGAGGAGCTGCTGTGTGCTCCGAAAACCAGGTTTCCCTGCATGTTTTGCTTTTGGGACCACCCGTGGCTGAGGACAGGCGTCACAGTTCACAGAGCTGGGTCACAGGTGGGGGAACGGGCCTGCCGCATCAGCCCACCAAGTCCCTGCTCAGGATCTTCCACGGGATGTTGGGGCTACAGAAGAGTTCCTCCCACAGCCAACTGTACCAGGAGGAAGTTGAAACAAACAGGCGACAAACTGTTTTCTGCTGAAACTTATTATTGGCCATTGAGAGTTGCAAACTATGCTACTAGGAGTGAACATTCTCTTCAGCAAACCTTTTTCAAAACACACAGGACAAAGCCCCTTGGTCAAGATGCCAGCCCTGCCACGCTTCACAGCGAGAGCAGGAGCTGCCGCAGAGCCTCCTGGCCTGGCCTGTGGCCCACCTGCCCCACCGTCCCCCACCCCCACCTGAGGGGTGCAGGCAGGGAGGCAGAGGAAATATCATGACTCACGTCCTCGGTAACACACTGAAGGTGTCCATTGCCCCCCAGCTCCCCAGACCCCACGTGCACTTCCTGGGGGGACTGCAGACCTGTGTGGGTCTGGGGCCCAGGACACCTGGCACCAAGGCCCATCAGCTGAGGCCTTGAGAAGCTGGGGGAGGGGGTGTACCTTGCACCATAAAGATCAGGATTTACCCTTGAGCCCCAAACCATCTGAGGCCTTGGTGGCCAGGAAGGCCATACTGAGATGGACGAGGACACACGGGAGGCTCCAGGTGGCAGTGTGCCTTCACGCCTCCCTGCCAGGCCTAGGTCCCAGGCGAGGGCAGCTCCCACTGACTTCACCCCCCACTCACCCAGGGGAAGCTGGCATGACAAGCCAGCTAGCAGCATGTGGGGCGTATCAGTGCCACAACCTGCAAATGGAACCCCGCTCCGGGAGCGCTGGCACATCTGTCCTGGAGAGTCCGGTGCACAGGGACATCTCTGATTCCCACCGTGCCCCACCCCCTTGCCACTTCTCTCCCCAAAGTGAGGAGGAGCCTCGCCATGATCCCCTCACCCCATCTCCCACTGAGGTTGCCCTCGATACACCATACGGGGCACAGGCCAAGGGCCAGCACCAAGGCCCAGTCCGCGGATGCTGCTCCTCATGCCCGCCTGGCAGGTCTTCTGGGATGGACCTGGGACACGCCCGACAGAAATTCATGTCTCTGTTGAGCAACTTCAAACAGGACTTTTAATTCCAAAGCAAACCCAGAACCGAGAGCCCAGGACGAAGCAGGACAGAGGCGATGCACTAGGGCAGGGCCGGCAGTGTCTTCAGGGGAGCTCTGAGGTGTGAAGGCGCTGCTCTCGGAAACTCTGGCCCGGCTGCGCTGGGCCTCCTGCAGGCGGCCCCTCATTCGTGCCTCGCAGCCTCAATGAGCTTTCTGGGCCAAGCGGCCTCACGCCTCGCAGTGGGGCCCCCAGAACGGTGCAGTCCTCCATCCAGGGCAGAGGTGGCGTGAGGCACGGCACTCAGTGGGCGGGCGGGCTGGATGGATGAAATGCTGCAGAGACACCAAGCACCCCGAGGCAGGGCTGGGCTCTTGGAGGCATCCCCATCGAGGGCCAGTGGACCGTCCCCAAACTCCAGGATTTTCAAAGGGACAGGATTTCAAAGTCTTCATCTTCTGAGTCAAAGAACCTTTCCAATCGCTCTACATCACAAGAATCTAGAAGAAATAAGACCTCATCAGATGCCTGGTGTGGGTCACTCTGGGGCGAGGGGACAACAAGGACCAGTGTGCACACCCACCAGGCCCAGGCTCTGGGCCCGCCTGCCCGTGTGGGCATCTGACAATCAAGGGTGTCCAGTCGGGGTGGCCTTGGTGCTCCAGGAGGCAAAAAGCCACTGTGATTGCCCAGCTGAGGCCTCGTGGGCTGGAGGGTCTCAGCAGGCCCGGAACTTGACTGGCACAAGGATGGAAGGGTCAGAAAGAAGCCCAGAGGCTTGTCTGGAAAGCAGAGGCGGGCAGACATGCCTCCCATCAGAGCACACAGGCGAGCGGGGGCTGGGAGATCAGAGACTTGTCCCAGGAAGGGCACCCAGCCTGTATCATCTTGGGGGCCAAAGGGACTTCTGTCCCAAGTCTCCCGGGCCAGCACCCAACCCTTTGTGGTTTTCACCAGGCAGTGGGCTTGGAGCTCACAACGTGGGGCAGCAGGCTGTCCCTGTTCCTCTCAGTGACCTTCAGACAGATGGACATGTGCTCATGGCCTCACTGCCAAGTCCCTGTGTTACATGTGCCACACACCCAGCCCACTCGGGAGGCACAGAGGACCTGAGCATGGAGAAGGCCCCAGGCCCACAGCACGGGGCAGTGAGGCACAGCCTACCTGAGGCACTGTGTGCCGGCCCGGGACTGGCTCTGAGCTGCACCGCAGAGGTCACTGTGTCCACAGGAAGGCTAGTGTGTTCTGGTCCTAACAACCCTGGGGCCCATGTAAGGGGCACACCCAGCTCCCTGTACATGGGGACAGGTAACTGTGCACAGGGGAAGATGCTGTTTAGCAGTGCCTCTAGTCCACACACAAGTCACCACCATGTGATCGCCCGTGGCGTGTGTATAAACCTTAAAAGTCAAAAACAATCAGAACGGGACCTGGTGGGAAACAGAGGGGACAGAGGCATCGCACAGGCCACACTGTGCCCCACCCCAGCAATGAAGCAGGTGATGCCCTGTCCCCACCTGAGATGTGGCCAAGGCCTTGGACTCACCTACAGACAGGTTCAGGACGTCAGGGCAGGCCAGGTGGGAAGGCTGCTGCTCCACCAGCTCAAACATAGGCAGGGCACCTCCGAGCAGCGACAGCTGTCAAAAGACACAGCTGTTAGACGCAGCCCTCCAGGGGCACAGCCCAGCACCCCCACCCGAGAGCACCATCACAAGAGAGGAAAAATGCTGACAAGCAAACAGAGGCAGCCTCCATGCTAGAGGCTCTTAATCCTATGCTGAGGCAGAAGCCCAGCCTGGCACCTGCCCAGGGGCAGCCGCATGCCATCAAGTCCCTCTGCTCATGTGAAGAGCAGCAGGTGCCAGGCTGATGAGCCAGAACCCTGTTCTAGAGCCCCACAGACGTCTGGCCCCGTGTTCTCCAGCCATAACGAGGGCGATGCCAGAAGCCATGGCCCTGGGAGGGCAGGGTCGCGGCACAGCTGGGTGCTGAGGAGGCAGGATCCCAAAGGGGAGACCCAGAAGGGGCCCTCGGCCCTGCCCTGCGGGTGAGAAGCCGCTACCGACCTTTCTGACTTCCTGGCACCAGTCGTTGAAGTCGTCCTCCGTCTTACAAAAAAAGCCCTGAAACAAAGGGTGCCAGAGAGCACAGAGCATGAACACACGGCAGGCCGCGCCCAGACGGCAGGCTCGGCATGCCTAGGGACCTGACGAGGGCCCAGCGTCCATTACCACACGTCTGACCGTCCTTGCTTCTTGGGCCTCCGCCCCACTGTGGGCTCTGACCAGAGCTCGACCCACAGCCCTCGACCCTGACTGACGCTGGCCGTGCAGCCCAAGTGCTCTCTGAAGGCCAGGGAAGGGCACAGGTTACACCGTGTCAGGGCAGAGCACAGAGCTGTCCTATGTCCCAGGGCTGGGCTCGGCCTGGACCACGGTCTCCCGAGCAGCTTCGCAAAGGCAAAGGCCACCAGGACTGAGGAACACGGTGCATGGCACACCTCCACGCGTGGGCCCCTCCTGTGGAGAGCTGGGCGCCAGGCAGAGGAGCTCACTAGGGTCAGCCTCCAGACCACATGCACAGAGCCCTGGTGTTCTTATTAAGTTAGCAGGGGTTCTTAACCCCGCCAGGTTACAGATGCTATGTGGAGAGACGAGGAAAACAGGTACAAAATGGGAGAAGCCAGACACAGCTTTCCCCAGAGCTGGAGCACAGGAGGGGGCTCTGGCAAGGACACCGAACGCTCTGTTGGAGAACGAGGCCTGTCTCTCCCCAGCAGCCTGGTGCACGCCTCCTCCTGAGGATGGGGCCGTGCCTCCACGTGCCTGAGAGCTCAGACATGCGCCTTCTGGACACTGCCAAAGACGCTGGTGGTCCAGTTTGATCTGATCTCAATACAGCATCAACCTTCAAGACACCGAGATACACTTACTGCCATGAGCATGTCTAACCGTGGCTGGACAAGGAATTCGCCAGTGGGTGCCCATGGCAGTGGAGCCTGTGAGCTCAAGTCGTCACGCTGACCTGACATAAGACCCAGACAGTGCGCCCAGGTGGTGTCATGTTTCAGGACCGGGCCTGCCTCCCGCCTGGAGTCCGTGACTTGGTTCATCGCCCCTCTCAGGACGCTCTCATTTCTAGGTGTGTTCGGCCTCCCTTCCCAAAAAGTGCATTTTTGTGAGCAGACAGGTTCAAATAAGCCACGACCAAAAGGGAGCAGGAAAGCCCATTCTGTGAGGTCGTCTCCCAGATACATCAAGTTGAAAGATGAAAATGTGAACCAGAAACCCCCAAAAAGGTGGCGCAGAGCAGTGAGCAAAGCAGTAACCACCGTCATGTTAAAAGACACGTCACCCCCACGTGCTTCAGCCCCACCAAGGCTGTGAGGACCACACACAGGGCCATTCACTCCTTTGTGCCCTCTGGATACTGAGCCATGTGACCATTACACTTACTCCAAAACATTAAAAAAAAAAATCATAGAAATCTGAAAGCTTTCATTTTCACTCTAAGAGCAGGGCTGGGTGCACAACACCTGCCCATAAGCTCATGCGGTCAGAGACGGCAGCGTGGAGAGGGGACGTACCACGGCGATGGACGGGTCGAGCTCCCCGATGCTCATCCTGCTGGGGGGGTGCTGGCAGTGGAAGCTCTCATCCGGAATAAAGCAGCTGTCAGTGAGCCCCACAGCCGGCTGTGTCGTGTGAGGGTCCAGGTAGATGAGCTCCTCACCTGGGCAAGCAGACAGGTGGTCAGGGGAAGGGAGCACTCGGGGGACCACGGCAGACCCACCACACCGAGAGCCCCTGACGGCATGGGACAGGCTGGGAGAGGCTGGGCAGAGGACGGGGTGGGAGTGGACCACAGGGGAAAGGGGTACGGAGGGTAGTGTGGGGACCCCTTGTGGGAGCTCCCCACCTGGGCAAGCAGACTGGTGGTCCTGGGTCAAGTTGATGCCCCAGTGTGGGGGAGGTTCGAGGCAAGGGGTACAGCTCGCCCCATGGGACTGTCCTGAAGACCACTTGGCTTCTGGCCAACTGGGACGGAGCTGAGGAGCCACGACTTACCAACGTAGCCAATGAAGTAGTGGGCACTGTTGGGCTTCCCGCCGATCACCCCCAGGGACTGGGGCATCATGAAACAGTGCTGCGGGAAAGAGAGCAGGGGGGCTGCTGAGCACACGCCAGCAGGAAGTCTGTGCCCTCAGACTGGGTCAGGCACCAGCAGACAACGCTGCCTGCATGCCACAGGAAGCAGATGGCACCCACCTCCACAGGGTTAGACAGGCAGGAGAGAGAGAAGACGTGGTCCCCAGGAGCCTAGTCAGGGAGGATGAGAACATGCCGCAGGTGGGGGGGGGCAACGGGCCTGGGGTCACGTACAAGACAGCTCCATGCCGGACGAGGGCCTAAGTTATTAAGCGGCAGCGAGGGTTCCGGGAGGAGATGCAGACAGGTCCACCCAGGTGCAGGCAGGGCACGGGGGTGCACAGGGGAGGCCAAGTGTTGGCCTGACTCCCAGGGCAGGGGAAATGGAGACGAGAAGCTGGTGGGGCTACTGAGTCAGAAGGAACAGAGGCTACAAGGGGCACAGGCAGGGAAGAGTGAGCTCGCGGAGCAGAGAGACCCATGGGAGGGCACTGCCCAGAGGGAGGCCAGGAGCCCGCAGGGAGCTCAGAGGACTGGAGTTGGCAGCAAGGCAGTGGAGGGACAGACTCCAGGACCCACCTTCAGAGTCTCCACATATGCCTCGTTGATGTCTGTGAGCCCCAGGCGCAGGGGGATGAGAAGCACCAAGGGCCTCCACGGGGGCCTGCTGGCAACCTCAGCCCCGGCAGGGAGGCCGTTGCAGTGCCGGTCGGAGTCTGCAGGAGACGCAGTGGCCCCTGCACACGGAAGGCTGCTCCTGCATGACCTTCCTGAAAAGGGAGACATGCTCTTACAGGCCAGGCACCCAAGAGAAAGAGGCCCACAATTAATCCATTAAAGGAAAAGCAGATAAGAAGCCCAGTGCTTAAATGCAACTCAAATTTGGAAAAGAAAGATGAATCCTGCCACCCACAGGAAGAACAGCACATTTTCTCCACACATTCAACTTAAGAGTAAAATAAGGCACACAAGCCAGTGCTCTGGGAGAGCAATGGCCTAGTGACCAGTGACCAGAATCCCTGTGCCCCCAAGGAGCTACTTTTCTCCTTCCTTTTAGATGGTGAGGCAACTCACTTCTGCCACCGAAGTGTCCCGGGCAATCCTTTAGGCACATTAAGTAGGGGGGATGCCAGTGGCCCTGAGCACCCCCAAGGCACCCAGCCTGTGGCTCCCAGACCCCCCACCCCCACAAAAGGGAACCAGGGCTGGGGTAGGGGCGGCACAAGGCACACTGGGCCTAGTCTGTGCCAGGGAGGAAGAGGCGACACAGGGACACGAGGCGCACCTGGTCAGAGCTGAGGCGGCCACAGCGATGAGAAAGGGGGTATGTGAGCCCACCGGCTCCGAAAGGGCTTTAGAGTGTGAATACGGGAGAGGGTGGAGGGAGGGCTCCTCCCCAGAGAGCCAGCCAGTGCAGAAAGGGGACGGTGTGCGATGCACGTTGAGTGTGACCCTAGGATACTTCCTGAGCCACAGGGGAACGGACAAGCCGGCAGCCCCTGCTGGACGCTCGCAGGGCAGAGCCGCCAGTCAGGCTCTGGGTCAAAACACGTAATCCAAATCTCATCACTAGGAAACAGAGGGTGGAACACCCTTCTGAACTAGCCTGGGTTCTCCAAGGACGTCCGTGCTATGAAAAACCAGGAAAACAAAGAGGGAGAACCTTCCAGATTAGAGGAGACTGGAAAGGTCTGGGGACGGCGCGCGAGGCCTGCTGGTTCCGAGGCAGAGCGCCCAGCCTCAGGCAAGGCCCACAGACGTGCCCACCACACCTGTGGCTGCTCGATCGGGCAGGTCAGACAGACTCGCTGCACGACGGAGACTTCTCAGAAAGGCGATGAAGGACTTTATCTTCCTTTTTCTCTCTGGCTACTTAATCTTCCTGTGATGTGATTTATATTGAATAATAAATCAGGCCCTCCTCTCCACACAGCTCCTAAAAACCTTTGGAATTTCCTAACTGGTTCGAGCCCTAAAGATATCTTGTGGTGTCAATGAGGTGTCTTTCGGAAAGCAGGGAAGGGCTGGTTGCCAGGGGAACCAACCTTCAGTCCCACCCACCCCTCAGACCTCTGGGAAGGACAGGAGCTAGGGAGGGGGCTCAGTCATGAGTGTCATGGAGCCCCCATCAAACCCAAGACAGGGTTCGGAGAGCTTCTGGGCTGGTGATGTGTGCAGACAACTTGGAGGTGGCTTGGAACCTTCGCCTGCAGGGTCGGGACAGTGTCAGAAATGAGCTAAATGTTTGGACACCCAGCTGGCGTCGCAGAACAGCTTGGTGCTGCGGGAAAAACCCACACAATGGAATTGTTGTCAGGATCTCATCTAGTTTCTAAACAGATTCCTGACGTTTCCCCTTTCCCCTTGGTATGGTTATCTGATGGGCACACAGGCTGTTTCAAAGAACCAGTTCTAGAATTTATTAGCTCTCCTGTTTCTCCTTTTACATCATTAAACTCTGCATTTGTCCTCATGAAACCTAAGGGTGGAACACCCTTCTGAACTAGCCTGGGTTCTCCAAGGACGTCCGTGCTATGAAAAACCAGGAAAACAAAGAGGGAGAACCTTCCAGATTAGAGGAGACTGGAAAGGTCTGGGGACGGCGCGCGAGGCCTGCTGGTTCCGAGGCAGAGCGCCCAGCCTCAGGCAAGGCCCACAGACGTGCCCACCACACCTGTGGCTGCTCGATCGGGCAGGTCAGACAGACTCGCTGCACGACGGAGACTTCTCAGAAAGGCGATGAAGGACTTTATCTTCCTTTTTCTCTCTGGCTACTTAATCTTCCTGTGATGTGATTTATATTGAATAATAAATCAGGCCCTCCTCTCCACACAGCTCCTAAAAACCTTTGGAATTTCCTAACTGGTTCGAGCCCTAAAGATATCTTGTGGTGTCAATGAGGTGTCTTTCGGAAAGCAGGGAAGGGCTGGTTGCCAGGGGAACCAACCTTCAGTCCCACCCACCCCTCAGACCTCTGGGAAGGACAGGAGCTAGGGAGGGGGCTCAGTCATGAGTGTCATGGAGCCCCCATCAAACCCAAGACAGGGTTCGGAGAGCTTCTGGGCTGGTGATGTGTGCAGACAACTTGGAGGTGGCTTGGAACCTTCGCCTGCAGGGTCGGGACAGTGTCAGAAATGAGCTAAATGTTTGGACACCCAGCTGGCGTCGCAGAACAGCTTGGTGCTGCGGGAAAAACCCACACAATGGAATTGTTGTCAGGATCTCATCTAGTTTCTAAACAGATTCCTGACGTTTCCCCTTTCCCCTTGGTATGGTTATCTGATGGGCACACAGGCTGTTTCAAAGAACCAGTTCTAGAATTTATTAGCTCTCCTGTTTCTCCTTTTACATCATTAAACTCTGCATTTGTCCTCATGAAACCTCTCTCCTCGGGTGTCTTCCGTTCCGCTGCTGTGCCTCCCCAACTCCCGGGGCTCCACGCCCCTCACCCTCTCCGATTCTCATCATCAGCACAACAGGCACCAGTTTTTTTCCTGAGTTCAGGGTTCAGGTGCTCATATACAGTCTGTAAACCTCACTTCTTTTGACCCAAAGCTAAGATAAAGGTTTGGAATTTCTAAGTAGTAGTTTTGTCCTTTTTCTCTTTATTCTACATAGTTCACATACATGTCCTGAGGGCTCTTTTGTAGGAGCTCTTTTCTGCCACCAGCGTCCAGGGCTGATGCATGTCTCGTGCTGCCTTACTCTGGCCCTCTGTCACTGTAGTTTTTATATATTCAACCTGCCACATATACTCTCTTTACCATAGGTTTTACTTTGCTGATTCTGGGACTATGTTTTGTGTGGTGACATTTTCCTTGCTGACCAGATCTTCACCACTAGGATGGACCCTCTCTCGGTCAACAACAGACAAAGACTGTGGCTCAAGAAATGATGGAAACAGGCCCACTGCTGCTGCTCTGTTGGCTGTACGTCACGAAGGTCTTGTTATCAAGAAAATGGGTTCATGTTCGTACCAGGTACCCACTTGTAGTTTTCTAGTGCTCGCTTAGCATTTTTACCATATTTAAGTTCTGTTTTCCTGTCAATGCAACTAACAAGACCTAAGTGCCGCCCTCATCCCACTCACCCCAAACCCAGGTCCTTTTCTTTGAGTTCACACATTTCTGGTAGCATCTGGCGTGGCAGGGAGATGCGGTGGCTGGGGCCAGTCGGGACCACCTCTCTTCAAAGGCAGCTACTGATATTACTACACTTGGATGCTTACAGAAGTTTCTTTATTTTTGCAGTGTGGGAAATGTCCCCAGGAACATGTATGTTTCAAGGACCTGGGGGGAGGCCTCCGGCTCTGGGCCCCCCTCCCCAGCCTGCCCTCACCTCCCGGAGCTCTGCCCCACACGGTCGCTCTGCTTCCCTCCATTTCCTCACTGGGATTTCTACTTCTGCCATCAGGACCTCACACCTCCCTTCGTCTGATGATACTTGAATGTAATTGTTCTTCACTGGCATGACCGTGCCCACTACAGACCACAGCACGCACCCCTGGACCCAGGGGCCCCCTGTGCTGAAACAGGTCTGACCCATCAGGAGTAAGTGCTGGCAGAGCCTGCGCTGGACCCCTGGCTAGCCCTGAGGACGGATGGGCAGGTGGGGGAACGGGGACACCCCAAGGATCAGGCCTCCCCTTGCTCAGGGTGCTTTCTAAATCTAAGGGAAGGTTAGGCCAGCTCTTTGTCTGGGGAGAGGCTCTGGTGGGATTTCTGACACCAGCATTCTTTCCCCACCTAACTGCCCCACAAGAAGCTCTGAGAAACCAGGACAGAAGAGTCCTCACTAAGCCAGCCTTGCTCCTCAGCTCCTGCTTTGCCGGACCTGTGAGTGTTGGGGCGGCTGGAGTGGTGGGCAGGGAAAGCAGCTGGTTTACTGTGCTCACTAAGCAGCAAGCACAAGCCACTGAGAATCACCTGCACACGCCCTGCCTCCCTGAGCTGTGCACAGACACCCTGCCCTGCTGCCAGCCCAGGGCACTGACTGGCTGAGCGCTGATGCTATCCCTCCCCCATCTGGGAGTCAGACGTCCTCCCCTCATCCCTGTGCTGAACACGTGTTGCTTCTGGTTCAGGGAGGACATGTGCTGTGACAGCAATCATGGCCAGGTGGCAAGCACACTGCAGCCAGGAGCCAGCTCCAAGCTCAAGCCCAGGCCCCTTCCCAGAACCAGACCCCAGTCCTCCTCCAACAAGCCCAGGGCCACATCTCACCACAGTTCCAGCAGCGCTGCCATGGATGACCCCGAGTCCCGGAGGAGCGCCGAGGAGCATCCGGGCTCACAGGCACGGTGCCTCCTGGGCCCCCACCAGTCACACCTCCAGCTCGTCCCTCACCTCTTCCTGGCACTGCCCCAGGGGACCAGCCTCTCCAGCATGAAGCCAGGGTTGGACAAGTGGCAGGTGAGACCCTGAACAGGGGAAGGGTAATGAGCTAAGTGGTTCTCCAGCACCGGGGGAAAGAAACAGGCAAATAGAATATGGTGCAGCCAGGCCACGAGACAGTGACACCCTTTCCATTGGCAAGAGCCAATGTATTTTTCTGAAAAATAGAACACTGGGGGGCAACATGTCTCAACATCAATATGAGCTATTTCTGAGAGGAGAACCCAAATGATTTTCCCCTTCTCTGCATATTTTCTAAGTTCCTGTTTCACGAAAATGTTAAGAACTAGAGGGGGAATGCGGGGGCCAAGGGAGAAGGGGCCCCGCGCCCTCCCACTCCGGCCCCAGGCCAACGCACCCGGGGCCACAGGGTGCTGCAGAGCGCCTGGCTGCCAGTCAGGGCTGTTCTTTCCCGGGGCCCACCCCTGCAAGAAGCAAAGGGGCACTGCAGTCACCAGCAGGGAAGCAGCCCCCACAAAGCGCCACCACGCCTGCAGTGTGAGTGTGAGACCTGCTCCCAGCGGCTGCGCCAGCCTGCACATCTGCACGCTGAGAGATAGGCTGCTCCCCACTCTCCTCTCGGGAGATCAGACTCAAGGCAAGAGCCCACATGCAGAAACCAGTGAGCGGGGTTGGGGCAGCTTCGGGAAACGTCTGGGGAACTGCTGCTGAGTAAACCATGTAATAAGACAGTAAGAGCTCTGCTGGCCTGATGCACGAGAGAATGCGGGCATTCTCCAGAGGCAGTCGGCCAAAGGGAGCCTTCGTTTGCCCCCTGGACTGACGCTTCAGCATGCCTGGATTTCTACGTTTCTCTTTCAAGTTACTCCTAGGCTTGAGGTGGTGGAGCTGAAAATTCTCACCTCTCCTTAAGGCTAACGGGCACAAAGGCATGGGGCCGAATACCCACACACACCTGCATGCAGCTCAGTCCAGCATGTCTCAGCTATTTGTAGTAAAAACACAAACCACATGGGGAACTAAGGAGCCCAGCTCTGCAGAGCCACACCCTGCCCCCCAGCCTGCCCAGGGGACGCACACTCATGGCACCCCCAGGGAGGCCCTTTGTGGACCAGCCACTCCCAACTCCAGGCAGCCACAACCCCTGATCCACAGCTCACTTACTGATGTCCTCCATCACCACCGTGTTGTCCATCGCTATATGGACTGCCAAGGCGCTCCAGGTGTCAAAGACAGCAAGCTTCCTGCAGAAAGGGGGAACATGCCGCTAACCTTCACAATCCCAGATGTGAAGGGCGTCCACAGGATGCCCCAGGGAACAGCACCCAGTGCTCTAGCTGTTTCTCAACTGACAGGCTGAGGCTGGCGATGCCCAGGGCACAGGGTCCCGCCATCACCCCACAGCCACTTGCAGAGGAAGTGCCCATACAAGGGCATCTCTGGTGACAGTCATCAGGTCTAGTTGGCACACACCTGTGGGAACTAGACTATGAACCCAGGCCTCAGGTGCTGCTGGGTTCACCAACTCTGAGGCAGGCCTAGTCCCCTGGAAACCCCCCAGACACTAAACCGACAACCAGGGTGAATCCTCAGAATGAAATCTGTGGTTCAACAAGTGCAGACAGCAGTCGTGAGGAATGGCGGCCCCAGAGGTGAGATTCTTAGAGAAGAGCAGACTTTGCAACCAAAGTATAATGGGGGCACAAAGCTCATCCTGGCACTGTGGATGAAAAATCGGGGTTCCCGAGGGGAGACGGAGGACCCAGTGCACCTGGGGACAAGGGTGGAGGGCTAGGATGGCGGGGCGACCACGAGGGAGACCCGACCAATGGGACAGTGCCCGCAGTGCCCCAGCAGTGGCCTCCCCTGCCTCCCGCCATGCCTGCTGCAGGCCAGGCACAGCACCAAAGACACGCGGACACAAAGCAGCTCCTTGGGGACATTCCGAGGGGAGGCAGGCAGGGAAGGAGTGGCCATCACAGGTAGCAGTGTTGTGAAGAACATGGCAGGAGTGGGGGTGCACACTAGGGCAGCTATGGGAGGCCTCAGTGTGAAGGGGTGTCTGGGCAGAGGCAGATGCTGGGCGAAGTGCATGCACATGCAGATGCCCTGAGGTGGGTGTGTGCCAGGGAGTCCAGGGCGGGCAGAGGCGGGCCATGGAGGCAGGCAGAGCACAGCCAGCTCACAGCTCTGTGGCCAGCGGACAGCCGGGACAGTCCTGAGCAGACGAGGGGCAGGTGGGTGGGCTTATACTTCATGACAATAACACTGCCACTATTCGAAAGGAGACTCTAGGATAGCAAACAGAGAAGGAAGACCAGCAAGGAGGCAGAAGGCAGGCCTGGACCAGAGAGGACAGGGGGCTGAGGACATGGCCAGACAGCGGCCACATCTAGATGGGGTGTGTTGAGAGAGAAGAGTAAAGCACGACCCACTTTTGGCCAAGCTGCTGGAAGGACTGCACTGCCACTCGCTGGAGAGGCGGAATGTGAGGCGGAGGGGACCCACTGTGGGTCTGGCTGTTACAGTGGCGTGCCCTTGGACACCCCTGGATGTGAGTCTGGAGTCTGGGGACAGGTGAGCCTGGGGATGTGACTCTGGGAGCTGTGTGTGTGCAGACAGCAGCTGAAGCCGGGCCCAAAGGAGAGAGAACAGCCAGAGGCCTGCACCAAGCCCGCAGCACTCCCAGGTGGAGACCGGCAGCAGAGGCAGCCAGAGGTCAGGAGAAGCACCGAAGAGCGTGACTAGCAGCCCACGCTTCCAAACAGAGAGCAGAACCTACACCAAGGGCTGTGTGCTGGACGGCCCAGCAGGCCAGAGGCTGGAACCCGGCCTTCGACACAACAGGACAGATGGTAACCTCAGCGAAGCTGCCTCAGGGCAGCAGTGGGAGGAAGGCAGTGAGTGTGCGAGACGGGCAGAGCACAGGCGGGCCATGCAGGCAGGCCACACATGCAGACCACACACGGGGGCACACCATGCACACAGACCACACACACAGACTAAGCTTCAAGGCATGCAGGGCTGCATCCAGGACCCTAAAGGGTACATTTGGGGGCTGAGTAAATGTGGGGACTAGGTAAAGAAATGGAGAGATGGGACAGGCCTGGGAATCGGTAGAAGCTGGACGTGGAAGGGAAGTGTCTTGGGAGATGACAACAGTGGTTGGGTAGAGGGTAGCCATTCACCATGAGGAGGAATAGGCTGGGGGCAAGTGAAAGAGGAGCAATTTCAGAAACACCAAGTGTGGGGTGCCTATGGGAGGCACCCGTGGGGACAGGGGACAGGTGGGCAGACGCTTGAGGTGCAGCTGGGAACAGGTTTAAGAGGGAGGAGGCTATAGGTCAGAAGAAAGGCCAAGGTGCCTGCACGGAGGACAGCCTGTGGAAGATGCGCTGCATGTGCAGGAAGGTCAGAATGCAGCACATCTGAAACTGCTGTGCTCCAGACCAGCTCCAACCTCCCCCATGATGATGTGTCCACGGGGCAAAGAACAACGACCAACCCAGGGGAACAACCTGGAGTAAGATATTCACTTTATCAGGAAACAAACTGCGATACAAAAGACCACTTGGCATGGCCACCTGAGGACCACCTGTGACACCCCACACTTCCCTTATCAATGAAGACTCACGAAGTTTGAACACCCATGGTATGGTCACACTGTCCCCAAGGAAATGGGAGGGATGGCGCTCGGTACCTACTTGAGGACCTGGGCGACTGTGTTGGGCCCGTACCACTGGCCGATGGACTTGCCCTCACCAACTCCCATTTGTGCTGCAAAAAAACATATCCAGTTAGTAACACACACCCCTGCTCCCACCTACCCCCACAGACGCGGGCGTGTGGCTTTAGGAGCACTTTACAGGAGGCCTGGGCAGGCACAGGGTGCTTCCTCCAAAGGGACAGGTACCATCTCAAGGTCTGTCCTTCCCTAAGACAGGGTTTCAGTCCTCAACGAGGATCAGGGCTGGAGAGGAAATGACTCAGGTCAATCCATTCAGAGTCATGTTTTTACTTCCTTCTGTAAGTGAGAATGCAACGCTAAAACAGAGTAGCATTCAATCTCACTGATGGGGTGTGAGAAAAAGAGCCCGTGAGGCCATCAAGTCTGATCTCAGACACCGCGGCAAGTGACACACCACTGCAGGTCAGCCTGGGTCCAGCAGGCCAGGCCACGGTGGGGGTGGGCAGAGCGGTCTAAGCCTCCCGCCTCACACACCACCATCCCAGAGCAGTGCTTGGGGGGACCCAGAAACCCTCTGCCCGCTCCAAACAGCAGGACCCCGCACCCTGCGCAGTCCCACCTATCTGGTGAATGGAGTAGTAACTGTCTTTCCTGTCAATGAATGCACTGAGGACGCTGACGTAGCTGTCTGGCTGCTGCTTCCGCTGTGTCCACCTCCAGTCTATCAGAGACAGATCCGGAAGCTCAGTCTTACCAACATGTGAGAGAAAGTCCTTTGTTTTTACAAACACAAATAGTATCCACATCTTCACTGAAGCTTTCCAAAGTTAAAAGCCAAATTCACCAGGATTTCAAATACCTATGTGCCAGCTCTTCAGAACGAATCCATACGCAAAGCAGAAAATGATTTCAGTGGTTTAAACATAATTTCCAAAAGATAGACATTTATTTATCAGCATGCTTTGAGGTCACTTTTTTTAATCAGTAAAAACCAGTGGGTCACTATGCAAGAAAACCCTGAGCCCTGTGTCTGGCTGGTGATCTGCTCCCACGGCCCACCCCCGAGTCCGCAGAGCAGGCGGCACCACCCCAGCGTCGCGGCTCACCTCGGCCTAGGTGCCGGCACAGCAGGGCTTGGGCAAAGATCATCTGTCCACACCGCAGCATGCAGCCCCAGCCCGTGTCCGAGGTGGGGCCAGTTCCCCCTGCCACAGTGGACAAAGAGAGAGGCACTCACTGTCAGACGGGTCCTAACACCCCCAGGCCGGTCCTGACTGCAGGTACCAGCTCCGCCTTGGGCCTACGCCTTGTAGAACCTGGTCACACCAAGGTGGAGCTTGCTGGGAAGTGAAATGTCCTGATGACCCGCTCAAAATGGGCAACATATGTAAACAAGACAGTCAGAGAAATACGAATGTGGGGCAAGCACGTGAAAAGACACTAAGCCTCACAAGTAATCCAGGAAACGCAAAATCACATCAGGAGGACATTTTCCAGCTACCAAAAAAGCAAGAATAGTGGCTGGGAGTGTGGAAGATGGGCTGCGTGTGCAGGAAGTCAGAATGCAGCACACCTTTCACCCAGACCCAGACCCTGTGTAGACTGTGAGACAGGCCCTAACGTGACAGGAAATGCCCCGACACCCTGACCACCAGCACGGTGAGAGGCACACGGTGACAGCGGAGTAGTGACTCAGGGGTCAGGCCCCGCAGGCTCTACCCTCGCCCCGCAGCATCACCCACTTGCGCAGAGGGTGGGGTGGGGTGGGGGGACACAAAGCTTACCTCTTGGGGCATGGTGGGGTCACAGAAGGGGCCCTGTGCGAAGCACGCAGCACAGGGCCTGCTGTGCAGAAACAACCCACCTCCCATACAAACGAGTCATCTCTGCGTGGCAGGGGAGGAGACAGACCCCTGACCTCCAGAAGGGAGGTGTCTCCTCCCCAACCATTCTGCCAAACAAGGCAGGGCTCCTCAGTCTGTCCTCCAGGGGCGCAGACGTCGGGCCTGCAGGACGGCTGGGTCCCTCCCAGCACCACAGACTGGGCCCCTGCCCCAGGGCCAGGCACAGTGGCCTCAGGGCAGGTGTGGAATCAGAGTCCAGGGGAAGGACAGCCATCCCCAGAGCACCTCTGCACTCACATCGTCAACCACTGACCCAGGGACACTGACCACATCCCCTGCATTTTGGTGCTCCCAAAAAGTCAAGTATGGCAGCTGCTTTATATCCATGTCCTTCTGGAGAACAGATGAGATTACGTCTAGTAGCAGGCCTGACTGACACCCACTCCCAAAGAGGTGCAGCCTCCTGACCCCAAACTCCAAAGACAAGGCCAAGAGTGCGTCCCCTTCCCAACCATCCCCAGGGCTAAAATGCTAATAAGAGCCTCTCTAAATGGGACACACTTTAATGCCGCTAAACGTGTCACATCCATCTTGCCCTTCAGCAACCCCCACGAGGATGTGTGGAGCAGATGGAAAAAGATGGCGCCCACAGAGCAGTGGCTTCCAGACATCCTGGACAGGCGGGAAGCAGCTGCATGCCTGACGCAGGGCTCCCTGCGCATTTACAAACACCCAGACCATCCCACAGGGACATGCTACCCCCTGCTCCCTTCTGGTCCACATCTGCAGCTGCTGGGCATGGCTGACCCTACTGCTGTAGGACCTGGTAACAAACGGTGACATGCAGTTGGAAAATCACTGGCCTCGTAGAATTGGGGGCCTGGGTGGGCACCTGGCTCTGCCACAGCTAGGGGCCAGACCTCCGCCAGCTTGTTTACCTATGCTGCTGTGAGGATTAAATGAAGTGACAAGCACCTGGCATACTGAAAACTGTGTATTCTGTCACATGCTGTGACAAACAGAGCACTTACCGATGGCTGGGAAGTTTTTCCTGTATGTAAACCAAAGCCTTGACGCCACATCGGACAAGATCTCATCCTTTTCTAGAGAACATTTAAAAGAAGAAAACACACACACAGAGACTTAAGTTCGTAGGTCAGATGGTACAGAAAGTTAGCAGGCAGCTGCCATTAACTATTATGCCATGAGATGCTCTGTGCCAACTGAGCGCTGAGAGCCCAGTGGGCCCGAGCATGGCTGGTACCTGTGAAAAGGCTATATTTTCTTCCCAGGATCCAAACAGGCTCTGAGGTCTCAGGGAAGTCTTCAAACTCAGCAAATCGGAGAGTGTCATAGGTCAGAGTAGCTATTGGAACCAGACACAAGTAGATTAAGTTTTGTAATTTCACAAAACGACATCCCAGATCATTTATAGGATTTCCATATAAAGAGCCTGTGAATTCTGCACCTCAGTGGCTGGAGGTACCACTACCGACCAAACGGGGCTTTGCCAGGAGATGGGCCTCCCAGCCTACTTGCTGGGCATCGCAGATTTAAAGGCAGTCAGTGTCCATACACAAGTGTAACTGTGGATCAGACCCAGGAGACAGAAACAAGGAAAAAAGGCTTCTTGGTTTTTTACTTAGACCTGAAGAGCAAAAAGTGAAATGAAGCCATACCTCTCGCACTTAATCTCTGTACACAAGGAAGGCCACAGACAAAACAGAAGGTAAAGCAAGTGTTCATGGCTGTTCCAAGACTTACCAGACGTGTGCCCCTTGGGGCACACACCCAGACACTGTGGTGAAGGCAGATGCTTCCAGGGAACAGTCAGGAAAGCTTCAAAAGACTTGGGGTCTAGTCCATACCTGACTGCCCAATTAGGAGCAGTCAGCTGTGGAGGGGCAGGATGCCTCCAGAAATGGAGAGACAGACCTGTCTGCAAGGTACCCCAAGACCCTGGGTCCTGAAAGGTCTGCGGCCTGTTTCGCTTGGCCGTCGCTACCAGGGAACCCTGGTTCCTAAGGAGGTGGCTGTGTGTAGTGCGCAGCATCTGGACACTGTGCCAACAAGAGCTGAGCAGCAGCTCATCCCACACTGCTTCCTGAGGAAACGAGAGGGCCTAATACCCCTCCTGTCCACAGAACCCCTTCTGCACATGGATCTGAGACCAACGCCCACAAGGCAAGCTGCCCATGGAGTGTCCTGGGGTACACTCTTCAGAGCACCCTTAACACACCACTCTCACCCTCAACAGTGCCAAGCCACTCCCACCTCACTGACAATTTCACAGAAGTCCTGGGAAAACCTAAAATACTCTATGAGCTTCCCCCCACCTGTGAATTTATTTTTTGACAATAACCCCACCTTTTGGTAAAAATGACATATACTATTTATTTAAAAAACTCCGAAACTACAAAATTACTATGAAAACCATCTGCAGCCTCCACCCAGCCATGAGCCAACTTCCAGAAGTCTCTAGGCACAGACACACACACAACACCATGCCACACCTGTGGCTTCGCCTTTACTCCTCTCCACAGCCACATGGATGAAGAGCTCCCACAGGCGCACAGTAGCTCTGAGCAGTCTGCAGCGCACTGTCCATGCCACCACGACCTCTGGTGCCCCATCAGGGTGCTCCTGGAGTTTCCTGCTGAGCCTCCCTGAGTATCCCTGGGTGGGCCCAAGCCCTGGGGAAGTCAGGGTAGACTGCACGCTCTGGCACCTGCCAGCCAGGGCTCAAGCCCCGCTCCAGCACTCACAGGAGCTGAGGCTCCTGGCCACTTGCTTATGGAAATTCCTTCACCCATCAAACAGGGAAGAACAACAAGATGCCCTCCCAAGGTGGTCCACGAAGCCCCTCCCAGGAGGTGCTCAAGGCTGGCAGACAGAAGGGCTCCGTAGTCAGCTGGTGTCATTAACATCTAGGACGAGAAGTGCGGGCTCGAAGGCTGGTGATTTAACTACTCCTGGGAGGCTGACCTGGACGTGCAGCTAATTCCCAGTTCCAGGGTTGGGAAAGCAGTGCTCGCTGAACTAACCCAAGGCAACAGAAGGCCCTGCATCTGCACCCTAAATAACCAGGCTTTGGGAACCCAGACCCAGCTCTGCCTGGATTTGTACCTGAAGCCCGACAGGGTCGGAGCAGCCCTGCAGCCTGGGGTGCCTGCTGGGCGGCAGTGCTGCCGTGCCCCCACCCCCAGCCACCGGCTTCCTCCAGGGCTTCGCTCTGCCTGCCCCGCCATAGACAATGCCAGCCACGCTGCTCTGTGATCAGGAAGAAATAACTTAAAGCCTGAGTTTACTTCTCCCTTTGTGTTCACAGGATCACATGTTTCTGTAGGTGATCATAAAAACTACATAGAGATGGATGAGAGCTCCATCTTTTGAAGGAGCTGAGAACACCACAGTGTCTCTGCTACCTCTCCAGTCACCTCTGGGTCTTCAGAAATCACTGCTGCCTTAGCCTCCAGGCTTTAACCAGCAGGTACACTCAAGCCCATGAGGTTTACTTTCAAGAAGAAGTCACCTGACTCCAGGTGACGACACCGCAGGACCACAGTTCTCACCCCAGCGCAGGGGGCCTTCTACTGACGTCAGAGGCCCTTCAAAGACCACAGCTTCAGACACGTGCAGCCTTCCAAGTGCCTGGGGTAACTGTCTCTTCTGCAGGCTGTGCCAGATGGTGTGGCATGTGTGAAGGGGCCGCACACTGTACCAAAGTTGGGTCAGCTCTGAAGCTGCATCACTCAAGTAGCAAAATGCAAAGCAGGCATTATTTCTTTGGTTTACTAGCAAATGTGACAGACAATGAAGCCAACTTCAGAGGGAAGTAGTGAGAGGTGTGCTGTGAAGATGTTATGACAAATTTGCTACTGTAACTAACAAAATTGCAGGTTGTGTAGCCTCAGACTCATTCCTCTGGGAGCCAAAGCAGGCGAGGGCAGAGAGACACCGGAGAGGGGTAAGGCATTGGGGTGACCCCACCTCTTGCCGGCTTGCCAAGGGTCTGGAGGCCATAGCGCATGTTACCTGCAGGGTCCCTAAGGAGGGCTGTGAACGCCCGTCTGCCCCCGGCCCCCGACGGCCTTTCTGGCCTCCATTAGAGCCGGGGCCGTGTTCACCCTGTTCCCGCAGCCACCGAGGACCCCAGGCACTGGGAGCAGCTATGCTCACAGCCGAGACACGCCTTCCCTGCAGCGTGGAACCGAAGGTCTGCCTGCTGTCATCGCATGGCCCACCCCCGCTGGTGACCTTTCTGTACCTCGGTTTTCTCACTGGTAAAAGGGGAACAGCTGTGCTTTCCTCAAGGCCTGTGTGAGGAAGAAACAAGTTAGTAACTGTGAAAAGCTGTGCCCCACACTGGGCAACAGGAGGCACATTCTGGGGGGCCCATCAGGGAATCTCGGACCCAGGCGCAGTAGCGATGCCCCATGTAAAGGAGACAGTCTCCGTGCTCTGCGACTGAGGTGCAGCACCAAGCACAGAGTGCACGGGAGACTGACTCAAACGTGGGTGCTCCTTCCCTGAAGTTAACTAGGCACACTTTCCTCATGAGACAGGACTGCATCTGGGAGCAGCATCAGCCACCAGCGCCACTTCACAGGCTGGTCCCAATGTCCTTATGCCTTATCAGCCGGAAGAAGAGGCCTGTGGGCCTCAGCACCCACCCAGAGGAGAGCAAGTGTGGCACCCCTCTGCAGCCATCAGGGGTCCTGACTGGCCAGCAGAGGACAGGACCAGCCTGAAATGCCACAGGCCTGGGCACCCGCCAGCTCCCTGGCATGGAGGGAGCTCTCATTCAGCACAGGCTGAGGTGCCTGGACAGACTGCCAAGCTCCCTGGTCTCTGGGTCTTACTTTCTAATTGAAGAATAAGTAATTTTTCTAAATTCCACTCATTTCTAAAGTTCAACTTTCTAATTTCTATTAAGATTTGTTGTTGGAGACCGAGCCCCCGTGCAGCTGTAGGACACACGACCTGACATCTCGAAGCCCAGCCTCTTCTCCCAAACGGAGCAAAGCCAGAGGGGGTGAGAACACACTTGGTGCCCTCAAGGTGCACAGCATCCCCCCAACAGTGCGGGCCTCCTCTTTTGCATATTATTTCAGGCCTCACTACTTTTGAGATGAAACTAAATTCCTCCTCCCCCAAACAAAACACCGCTGTTATCATCAATACTAATTTAGCCAAAATATGTACTAATACTTCTGCAGAACAGAATATATGAAACACCAGTACAGAAAACATTTTACTAGAAAGTAGTGCTTTTCTATTTTGAAGCTAAAGTTCACAATCATTAACATTCACACATACCCGACCAACAAGGTGGACCGACTCTAAGGCTCCTTTACCGACTCTGCTCCCAGACTGACCAGCTCTGTGGGGCCCCAAAGCCAGTAGCCTCCACAACGCCCAGAGGGTCCCGGCCTTATTCCACAGTGCTATCATCCATCATCTTCACACACGTCAAGTCACTCATGAAGCAGCTCACATACCTCCTGAGTCAAAATAAAAGGAGTCAAATCTCTAAAAGAATGCCAGTTTCCAGACTCCCAGGTAATGGAAATGAGACAATGCGCAGAAGCAAAAGAGACAGGCACCGTCCACACCGCCCACCTTGAGAAAAAGGTCGTTTTGGAGCCGCTGTCCCCCATTTGGTCACCTGGGTTCCAGACATTTAATTTTCCACATCTTCTTCCCTCAGGTGTCCCTGATCACACCCCGAAGAGGAAGCAGAACCCCTTTAACAGTGTGGTTAATTCCATCAGAAAAAAAATTTTGATTTAATATTATTAATCTAACAGAAAAATAGAGAATTGTGCCTAATGAACATAACCAACTTCTCTCTACTTACAAGTACATTGTAAGTCAACCAGAGAGAGCTGCAAAAAACACACACCACCAGATTTCTTTCAGAGCTTACTTTTAACACACTGTGTTTCAAAGACATTTCTCCAAAACATTTATATTTTCTGGGAGATTATGCTTTATAAATAAAATCAAAGGAAGGATTCTCCCCTTTCTTTGGAAAACGCTCATGCTTAAGATTATGGGTTTGCAAGTAGTTATTTTTTTAATCCCAAATAGTTTACATGCAGATGCTGGTGGTCCAGTTCCGAATGAAGAATAAGAAAAAAAAAAGGGAAAGAAAAAGAGCAAGAACTTGGAACCTCAGCTCCCTGAGGAAACTAAAACTGCTGCTCTAGTGAACATGCTGGACAGAGTGACCACATGTACCCACTGCCGGCAGCAGGCAGTCCTCTTCCCAGTCACACCTACACTAACAGACTGGGACTGCATCATACACAAACCCTACCAACGGACATTCTCATGGTTCGGGATCGTCTAAGTCATCATCAGCTCAAGTTCTGCTTCATCCACGACCAGCCACGTGCCACACACAATGTGAAAGACACATGCAAGCGTGAGGCACTGGCTCTGTCCTCCAGAAAGGACAGTGTGGCTGTGTAAGTGCAGACAACCAGCCAGTTGGTCGAACATGGAGCCTTGTCTGCATGGACAGCGTCGGGGTCTGTGGAGAAGACGACCGGCCTGCAGCCTGCCTGCCTCCTCTGAGCCTCTACATGCCAGCAGCCCTGGGCTCCCTCTCCCTGGCCCCTTTCGCTTTCCTCCTGCACTCAGACCCTCCATGACTCAGCCAGTGTGGCCACACACACACTTCTACCTCTAGTCCAGGCCCACAGACCCAAAGGACCCTGGATATCCTGACAGGATGTCTAACAGGCACCTCGCAGTCAACACATAAAAAAACAAACTCCCAATGCTTCCCGGCCCCAGGTATTTTCCACCTGAGATTCCCGTAACGGTCATAAACCTCAGTACCATTTTCAACTGCTCCTCTCCACCCCTACCCCTCACCATACGGTTTGCTATTGTCCCGACCTTCGAACATACCCAGAACTCCACCTCCTCTCCCAACACTGACCTAAGCTTCCAAGGCCTCTGGCTAGCTCACTGCAAGAGCCTCCCAACTCCTTCGGTGTCCTTGCTTCTGCCCTTGCCCCCTGCAGTATATTCTCACAGAGCAGCCACGCAAGTCTGCTGAACATATGGTCACGTTACTCATCCTCTCAAACACTCCCAAAGGGTCACCATCACCTTCAGAATAAATAAACACTCAAGTCCTCACTATGACCCAACACAGCCCCATGACCGGGCCCAAGTCACCTTTAGCTCCTGCTTCTCACCCCACCCATTGTACCCTGGCCATGAGGGCCTGCCAGCTCCCCGAGCAGGCCCTTGGTCCTTCTGCTTGCACTGCTTTTGGGTCCTGGTCAGAATTTTGCAGTGAGACCTTTCCTGGCCATCCTGGCTACACCTGCTTGGCCCACATCATTCCACCTTGTGAGCACACCGTTGGTGTTACGTCCAGAACGTCGGCTAGGCATGGTTTTTCCTGTTTTGTTTAATTCTCTAACCCCAGCATCTAGAACACGCCGACAAAGACCATACATTCAATAATAAACATGGTTATTGAATGGATGACCACAGAGCCACCGGGAACTACAGAGTGCTTGGTCATGGGAGGCAGAATCCATAAGGACTCCAGGAATCAGGGGAGGCAGGGCCATGAACCATCCCCAAAGGAGATGCAGCACCACCTCAGCAAGAAAGCCCCACCATGCCCCACAAAACACCACACATTATCTTTATCATCATCCACAGAGGCCCCTTCTACTTTGAAGCAGCCTTCCGTGTCCCATTAGGGTATCATCACATGGCTACTCCTCTAACTTTAACATGATTTTCACACTTAAGGTAACATGAATGACATTAAACTGGTTTTAAACCTCTCATTTTAATGGTCTTAGGTATCCAAGCAGCAATAACTTAAAAGAAAGCTGATATTAATTCTATTCCTTTCCCCACCCAATGCCCCCAGCACACAGTGCAACAGCATCCGGTATTTTTTAAAACAAACTTCACAAAAAATACATCTGGTTAATCTGCTCCTTTGGGAGTCAGGATTACTGTCTCCTCCTGTCATCTTACATTTAAGTGATGAGATACCACAATCATCGCCATGCATGCATATGTTACAGTGTCCAAACTGAGATTTCAGTAAATTTGTGCCACAGCTTCCTGGAAAAGAAAAACGAAGCAAAAACGATGCTATCCAGAATGACAGCTGGGATTAAACAGACCAGGGTAGGGGGTGGTACTTGAAGGCAAATCACTCCCTTCAAGGAATGAAAGCACTAAAACTGCCGCAGGATGAGAGAACCTGTGTGCAAATGCTTTGGAGGCTAACTGGACAAAGTCCCAAAATATCTTGCCAGCAAAGATTAAGGAGTTGCCTCCTCTGGTACAGAAGGACGATGAGATAGGCCAAAACACCACGAACACGGATACTCAGGTGTCTATATATACATACACACCCCCAACACACGCACTGTGCGTTAGGATGCGGCTTCTTTCTTCAATCGCAGAAAAGGAAGCTTAGATGATCTATTGTTTGCTGAATTTTAAAAACACATGAGTGTGCTAGGAGAGCTGGAGGTTTCTCGCCTCCGACGTGCCAATGTAACTTCCTCAGGGTTGAGGAGGTACCGCTCCCTGGCTCCCGGCGGGGAGCACACACTTCCCCCGCCCGAGCCCCCGCGCCGCCTGGCGCCCCTCCGTCCCCGACGCCGGTGCCCTGCTTGGCGAGCCAGCGTGGGGCCTGGAGGCAGGGAGCGGCTGGGAAAGTGCGGGGACGCAGACACACCCCGGACTGTCAGCTCCGCGCTGGCCTCCCGGGACGCCGCCCACGCCCCGGCCGCGCCAGGGCCCCGCCGTCCCCGGCCTCCAGGCCCGGCCCGCGCCGCGCCAGGCCCCGTGGGGCCGAGGGGGCCAGGCGAGCCCGCCCGCGGGACGCCCCGCGCCCGGCCAGGACCTCACCTGCGTCCATCTTCCCTCCCCGGCAGCCGACTGAGCGGCGTCGCTCCGACGGCTCGGCCGCGCGACGCGACGGGCCGCCGCCGGGGCCAATCCGGGCGCGGGCGGGCCCGGCGGGCGCGGCGGGGCGGGGCCGGAAGCGCGCCGGCGCCGCCATCCTGGCGTACGGCGGCGCCGGCGCGGGGGGCCGGGCCCCGCGCTCGGCTGCCCGGCGGCCTGATCCGCGCGCCCCGGACACCCCTACAGCTGCCCGCCGGGGCACGTGAGCTGACGCGCGGGGGCGGCACGGCCTCGGGCGGAGGCGTCGGCCCTCCGGGCATAGGGCCCGTCAGCGCGGCCATCTTGCCGTACGGACGGCCTTTGCGCCATGTCGCCGTACGGAGCCGCGGGCCCGGGATGCCCCCGCCTGCCCCCGACGCCGCGAGCCGCGGGCTGCGCCCAGCCGGTGCCGATGCCCCGGGCGCGCCGAGGGCCGGGCGGGCGCGCGGGCGCGCGGGGCGGCGGGCGCGCGCCGCCATCTTGCCGTACGGGGGCCGCGGGGCCGGCTCCCACGTCCCGCAGCCGTGTCGCCGCGCGCCCTCCCCTCGGGGCGGTCCCGCTCGGGGCTCGGCGCGGCGAAGCGACGGCCGGAGCCTGGTGCGGCGCGGCGGCCGAGGCCCGAGATGGTGATCTGCTGCGCGGCCGCGAACTGCTCCAACCGGCAGGGCAAGGGGGAGAAGCGCGCCGTCTCCTTCCACAGGTAACCGGGCCCGGCCCGCAGACGCGCGCCTCCGGCCACGCCCCCGCCCGGCCGGGGGAAACTGAGGCCGCACGGCCCGGCCGAGGCGGAGACACTTTATGCGCCGGGCCCGCGAGTGAGTCAGCGCCGAGTGCTGTGTGACCTTGGCCCGGCCGCCGTCTCTGGGCCGGGCCGCCGCGGCCGCCCCCTGCGCCCACCGGCGGCCCACCGCGCGGCCCCGGCGCCCACCTGAGGGCCCCCACCACCCCTCCCCACCGAGGCCACCGAGCGCTCATTGATTCGAGTCGGCGCCGCCGGGTTCCAAACAGTGCGTTCTGGAAGCGCGCTTCCTCGGGGAGGTCGCCCTCTTGCATTGGCTGTGACCGCTCTCTGTTCCTGCGGTCGGGAACGTGGCCGAACGGAGACAGCCGGTCCTCGGGGTTGGCGTGCCGCGGACGCTCCTCGGAGGGTCCGGGCCGCCCCCGGGCAGGAAGCGCGCCTGCATCCCGCGGAGCAGGGCCGGCCGCTGCCCCGAGGCGGGGAAGGGGCTCCGCGGAAGTGGGCCCGCAGCGGGCGGGGGCCGCCTTCTCCCCGGCCTGGCCTGGCCTCCCCGCGAGGGCTTCTCTCGGACTTCGGCGCCGGAGGTACCACAGCCCTGATCTGAAGGCGCTCTGCTTTGAAAACCTCCTGGCGCTTTGTTTTATGTTACTGGGTGTTATTTAAGGTTTTAAGACCTGAAAGACATTTGTTGTTTGTAGAGTTAGTGAGAGTTCACAGTGGTTTGCTTTGAGCCTTAAGTTGTTACAATCTATCAAAAAAACAAGTTATATTATTTCAGAGGCCAGCCACCAGGTTTTCGTGACAGTTTCTTTCAGAGCCTGGTCCCAGCAGTTTTGTTACTGTTTCCGAAAACGAGGCAAAGCGTTGTAGAGAAAGCTGCTCTTGGCCTTCATAATAGTCTAACTGCTGTGGGTCAAAGGACCTGAGAATGGGGTGGGGGGTCTTCGGGAAACGGGCTCGCAGAGCGTTGAGGAAGTGTAGAAGGTCACGTTGCTTAGAACTTCCTGAGGAGTTGGTATCCGCTCTGGTCCTGTCCATGGCGACCTCAGGTGTGTGAGATAGCCCTCCCGATGCGCCCACCACCACCACGTGCACAGTGCTCAGTTTCTAATAGAAACCTTGTCTTAGAGATAACGCGTATCTCATTCAGTATCTTCCAGGGATGGTTGCTTTTTAAAAGGAGCAGTTTTTCTTCTGGTAGGGGAAGTGCAGTAGGAACACCTAGGAACGTCCTTTGAGTCTGACAAGTGGTTAAAGCCAGTCTCACATCCTCAGCTGTTGGAGACACAGTTGGGGCCAGGCACCATGCTGGGCATTTGGGATGTTTAGGCCACCACCTGGCCTGGCTTCTAAATGTGGAACATCCCCGTTTTAGCATCCATAGTCGTGCATCCCAGTCACACTGGGAGGGTTAGTCAGCTACAAGCAACCAGGAACTATTACAGCATTTCCTGGAGCCTCCAGTTGTCTTAATGCCATCCTGTGCTGTCTCGGGGCATTTAAGACAGCCTGGGAAGCATCTGTCATTTTTCTGCCCTACAGACTGTAGGCTCCTGCAGGGCACGCATTGGACCATTAATCTTTCTGTTCCAGTAGTAACTTACAAGTAGGTGTGTCTTAAGTCTTCATAATGTCTTTTAGTGGATAATCAAGTCAATATAGGTTTGGACATTTGCAAAACGCTCGCTTTGCTTTTATAGTTGGTAATTTTAGGGGTACACATTTAGTTGTTTCTAATTGCTCTGTTATATGTCCTGCAGGTTCCCCCTAAAGGACTCAAAACGACTGATCCAGTGGCTCAAAGCTGTTCAAAGGGAAAACTGGACCCCCACTAAGTATTCTTTCCTCTGTAGTGAACATTTCACCAAAGACAGCTTCTCCAAAAGGCTGGAGGACCAGCACCGCCTGCTCAAGCCCACGGCTGTGCCCTCCATCTTCCACCTGACTGAGAAGAAGAGGGGGTCTGGAGGCCATGGCCGCACCAGGAGAAGAGACACCAGAAAGGCGTCTGGGGGCCTGAGGGCACGAGCGAGTGACGCAGACGGGAGGGTTGCTGCGGGTCCATCCTCCTCCTCAAGGGAGAGCCTGTCTGCTGGACCAGAGCCCTGCAGGGTGAAACGGGCCACGCCACAGGGTGAGACTGCGCCCAGGGCCGCCCGGGGAGCCGCAAGCCAGGAGCGGGCACCACAGACACCAGACGGAGCTCCAGGAGATGGTCCAGCTGCCAAGGCATCAGGCAGCCAGGAAGACGTGGTCACACCCACTGGGGATGCTGGCGATGAGAACGCTGCCTCCCCCAATGGGGGCTTGGTGGATAAGAGTGGTATTTCCATGGATGACTTTAGCCCCCCAGGATCTGGGGCATGCAAATTTATTGGTTCGCTTCATTCTTATAGTTTCTCCTCAAAACACACTCGAGAGAGGCCGTCTGTCCCCCGAGAGCCTGTCGACCGAAAGCGACTGAAGAGAGACCTGGAGGCCGGCTGCAGTGGGACAAGCCTGGGGCCCGACAAGGGCTTGGCCCAGAGCCCCCCGAGTTCCTCCCTCACAGTGACACCGCAGGAGCCGTCCCAGAGCCCCTCTGCCCCTCCAGCAGATGTCACCCCGAGGCCAGCCGCAGAAGCTGTGCAAAGTGAGCACCGCGACGCCAGCCCCATGTCCATCAACGAGGTCATCCTGTCGGCATCAGGGGCCTGCAAGCTCATCGACTCGCTGCACTCCTACTGCTTCTCATCCCGGCAGAGCAAGAGCCAGGTGTGCTGCCTGCGGGAGCAGGTGGAAAAAAAGAACGGCGAGCTTAAGACCCTGCGGCAGAGGGTCAGCCGCTCTGACAGCCAGGTGCGAAAGCTGCAGGAGAAGCTGGACGAGCTGAGAGCGAGCTTCCCCCGCCTGAGCAGCCTGCTGCCAGCCGGCCGCGGTCAGTACAGCTGGGCTCCCTGCCTGCGCCCATGAGAGCCCTGCTGCGGGGGGTGGGGAGGCCCGGGGTAGCGTGCCTGTACACGGAGCCCCCACTGGCTCCAGGGCACTTGAGGGGCGAGTGCCGCTCCGGGCTTCAGCCAGTAGGAAAGGCAGCCTCTCACGTGCACTGGGGGAGCCACTCAGACCCACTGGCTCAGGGGGCCCCTGCAGCTGGTTTCCCACTGGAAAGGCGGGGCTGCCCTACCTCACACCGGTGCGACCTCCGGAGGAGCCAGCAGCTCACTGTAACATAGAGCAAACTCTTAAAACCACGGGGAGGGCCTTGCCATCATGTTTTGATGAATAGCCTTAAAGTTAAATCATTTTGATCATTAATAATAATTTCATGAAAAATTTAAACATTATTTGGGTAAAATACATTCTCTTTTGTAGAACTTAAAACACTACAGAAATACGTAGGCTAAGAAGTGGTGAAAATTCCCATTTCTCATTACCTCCTGACTTGTTCCTTGTTGCTATCAAAATTTGGTGTGATGGCTTAGATTTTCTGTGCTTTTACATGCATATCTTTGCATCTATACAGATAGGTTCGATATGTTTTATATGTTAGCTACATTTCTGCTTCTCCTATTTTGTCATTTATACCAAATATCACCCTTTACATTTTGAGGATAGTATCTTTTACCTGTAACATATACATGGCAAACATTTAATCCAGACTAATGTTTGTCTTCTGGGATTTAATTAACACTTCTGGTGGGAAAAGGCTCTTAAGTGGCAGGACCTTCTTGACCCCCAGAGCTACAACCATTAGCACAACCCTAACGGAAGCAAAAACAAAACCCACCCCACGTGTCTTCACATGCCGTGAGGGTCTGGGGGAACACCGCCCCAGCAGAGGGCTGAGGCGCTGGCACCTCCCTTCACCTGGTGTCTGCAAGCTGTTCCTGCTCCTCTTCAAGGGTCAGACTTCCCAACATTTGTCGCTGTTACAGGTCTTTCCAAACACTGG